GCAGGGCCAGCAGGGCCACCAGGGCCATGTCCTCAGTGCTCCTGGGCAGGGAGAGCCCCCAGCCTGAGCAGCTGGGGAGCCCTGGGCAGCAACCAGGGCATGGGAGGGATTGAATCCCACCAGGAACAGCAAGGAAAGCAAGGTTAAAGCACCCCAGCAGGCACAGGAGGGACTGAATCCCACCAGGAACTACCAGAGAGCCGAAGTTAAACCACCCCATCAAGCACGGGAAGGATTGGACCCCACCAGGAACTGCCAAGAGAATGAAGCTCAACCATCCCACCAGACACAGGAGGGATTGAATCCCACCAGGAGCAGCAAGGAAAGCAAGGTTAAAGCACCCCAGCAGGCACAGGAGGGGTTGAACCCCACTAGAAACTGCAAGGAAAGCAAGGTTAAAGCACCCAGCAGGCACAGGAAGGATTGAATACCCCAGGAACTGCCAGGGAGCCAAGGTTAAACACCTCATCAAGCACAGGAGGGACTGAATCCCACCAGGAACTGCAAGGGAAGCAAGGTTAAACCACCCGGCAGGAAGAGGAGGGACTGAATCCCACCAAAAACTGCAGAGGAGCCAAGATTAAAGCACTCAACCAGGGCACAGGAGGCATTGAATCCCACCAGGAACTGCAAGGAAAGCAAAGTTAAAGCACTCAGCAGGCACAGGAGGGATTGAACCCCACCAGGAGCTGCCAAGGTTAAACACCCCAGCAGGGACAGAGAGACACAGAGGGGACTCACGGTGCTCCAGAGGCTCCGGCTGAGAGGAGCAGGATGGCAAAGAGGATGGGAAGGGCTGGACACATCATGGCTCCAGCTGATGTGGATGCTGGGAGCAGCCCCAGCCTCCCCCTGCAGCTCTGGGTCCCTCTGGGTCTGTGTCTGACCCGCTGCAGCCTCTGCAATGGGTCCCTAGCACAGCAGCCCTGGGCACCTGCAGATAAATCCAGGCAATGTTTGCCCTCTGCCCACGGCTTCCGGGGGTCAAGGACTCCAGGCATGTTTGCAGTATTGGGAAAGGTCCCTGGAGCTTCACTCTGGGCCGGGATTCCACAGGTTTGCTGGGAAATGATGTCAGGAGGCAGCAGGAACACACAGGAAAGGAAAACAGGGAGCACAGCCTGAGGAGGGGCTGGGAGCTGGGGAGCTGATTTCTCAGAAATGAACAATTTCTAGGTATTTCAAATGCAACCAGGTTTGGGCAAATCACGTGTCCCAGGCTGGCTTTTTGCCCAGTTTCACCCAGTCTGGACAGAGGAACAGGCCAGTGTGGGGATGTGGCATCACCATCTGCTCCCATTGCACACATGGACACCCGCCAGGGCAGGGCCGAGCTGCTGCCTGTGGATTCTTCACTTCTTTTTTCCGTTAAGGGTGGGATTAAATGTGTGAGACAGTACATTTTGTTCAGATCCAAATGTTTATTGGTTCTTATTCTATGTTACAGTCTCACAAACCCTGACTTCTACAGCACTTCATTCTAACAAACTAAAAATGGAGACCTGTCTCTCTCTCTCTCTACAAGGCCTTTAAAGGATAAGCTGTCTAATAATAAAAATTGTTTATTAATTAATTATTTATTAAATTGGTTTTACTTTTAACCCAATAACCAACCACTTGTGGCCCACAATGCAGACTTTTTCATCCAATTACACAAAACCACCCAAACCCATAGAGGAGAAGAAGGAGGAGGAGGAGGAGGAGGAGGAGGAGAAGAAGAAGAAGAAGAAGAAGAAGAAGAAGAAGAAGAAGAAGAAGAAGAACCAGCCTCCACTCTAAAACCTCCATCTTGCTTTTCATATATTACTATATTCTAAACCCTTAAACTCTAAGTTTTCCACCCCCTGATATCACACACTTCTGTCCAAACTCCACACCCACCATCCCAGTTCTGCCATTCCATTTTGGAAGCTGCTCCACACCCTCAGGTCAATGCAGAGTTCTCCTGGGGGTCAGTGCCTGCCAGCACAGAAAGTCTGAAATTCTCAGTGTCCAGGGTTCCAACAGCTTCCCTGTGTCCTGGTGGGAATGTGGGACAGCTGAGGAGCCCCACGACAGCCCCACAGTCCTGAGCACACCCCCTGCTCTGGGGTTTTGCAGTTCCCTTCCCTCTGAGGCTGTGGGAACCATGGAATCACAGAATGGTTTGGGTTGGAAGGGACCTTAAAGCCCCTCCAATGCCAGACCTGCCACGGCAGGGACACCTTCCACTGTCCCAGGGTGCTCCAATCCCATCCAGCCTGGCCTTGGGCACTGCCAGGGATCCAGGGGCAGCTCTGGGTATCTGTGCCAAGGCCCCACAGGAAGCCATGGATGGGCCTGACCTTTTCCATGGCATCTCAGATGACCACAGCTCTGTCCCCAGGCCTGCCCAGCCCAGGTTTTGCTGGACACAGCTCTGTGCCCATCTCCTGCCCTTTGGAGCAGCCCCAGGGGCCATGGGTAGATGGAGGGGCTGGAGCTGCCATGCCAAGGACACGAGGAGGGAGCACGGCCCGAGCTCACCCAGCCCTGCAGGAAATGGGCAGGGTCAGTGCCCAGCCAGACATCCCAGGGGGACAGGAGCTCACAGCTCCCCCAGGACTGCCAAGGCCACCGTGAGCCCTGTCCCCAAGCGCCACCTCCACAGGGCTGTGAAACCCCTCGTTGACGATGTTCACAGGGGTCCCAGGGTGAGGGAAGAGACGAGGATCTGACTCCATGTTTCAGAAGGCTGATTTATTTATATATTTAATATATATTTATTGTATTATTTAATATTATTTATTATATTGTTTAATATATATTTATATAATATATATATTTGTATATTTATATATTTAATTATATATTTTATATTAAAATTTTGGCCATTCTGCCACTGCCCTGTGACGATGTTCACAGGGGTCACAGGTTGAGGGAAGAGACAAGGATCTGACTCCATGTTTCAGAAGGCTTGATTTATTATTTTATGATATATATTATATTAAAACTATACTAAAAGAATAGAAGAAAGGATTTCATTAGAAGGCTGGCTAACAATAGAAAAGGAAAGAATGATAACAAAGGTTTGTGACTGACTGAGACAGTCCGAGCCAGCTGGACTGTGATTGGCCATTAATTAGAAACAACCACATGAGACCAATCACAGATGCACCTGTTGCATTCCACAGCAGCAGATAATCATTGTTTACATTTTGTTCCTGAGGCCTGTCAGCTTCTCAGGAGGAAAAATCCTAAGGAAAGGATTTTTTACAAAAGATGTCTGTGACACCCCTGCAGGGATGGGGACCCAGAGCAGCTAGGCAGGCCAGACCTTGGAGCACCAGAATTTGTTTCCAGAGCCCCCATGCCAAGTATTTTTCCTCTCCTCAAGCTTTCACCTCCCACTGCCAGTACAAAACCCAGGGATGGCTCTGGCTGGGCCCCTCCAGGCAGGACAGGATTTTGTCCAGAGCAGCTGGGGCTGCCCCTGGATCCCTGGCAGTGCCCAAGGCCAGGCTGGATGGGATTGGAGCAGCCTGGGACAGTGGAAGGTGTCCCTGCCATGGCAGACCTGGATGGGCTTTAAGGTTCCTCGCACCCAAACCTTCCATGGCTCCATTGATGCTCAACCCCCCAGACCCAAACTTTGGGCAGCCAAACCATGCCAAGGGTGTGGTGGGACCCCCAGGCCAGCTCAGAGCTGACAGATCACGCCAATCCTGGGAAGCAGGAAAGGATTAAAGGAGCTTTCTGGGACGTGGGACCTTCCTGTGCCCTTGGCCATACCCATGTGACATCTCCTGATCCTGTGGGTTGTTCCTCATGGGAAGCCTCTTTGCAGTTTGATGTTGCAACAGATTTGAAGGATTTCCTCCATAATCCAGTTCTCCTGAGAGCAGGAATGGTGCCAAACCGGAGCTCTGTGCCTGGGTTTGCACCTTTTATCCCAGGGTGGGAGGGGAACCTTGCACACCCTGCTCCCCACAAGGGGACAGCCACACCCTGCCCTGTCCCTGCCCTGTCCCTGCCCTGCTGCCACCCTGTGGGCTGGCACAGGAGCTGCTCAGCTGGGAAGGAGCCAGGAGGTCCCAAATCCCTGCCTGGCTGCAGGGAATCATCCAGCTGTTGGATGGGCCGTAGTCCAGAGGCCATGGAGAGGCACCTCCAGGTGGGACTGTGTCCAGGTGGGCACCACCCAAGTGTTGCTCGGAATTTGGAGCTTCAGTGGATGCTCTTCCTGTGCATTTAGTGGTGCAGGGAGAGCCCTGCCTCAGGGGCAACCCCAGACCAGGGTAACCCTCACCCTGCCATGAGCTCCTCGCACTAGCCCTGGGGTGGGGATGCTCTGTGTTCAGGGAGCTCTGTATGCAGGGTGCTTGGTGTGCAGAGTGTTTTGTGTGTGCACTGAGCTCTGTGTGCAGAGTGCTCCATCTGCAGGGTGTTCCCTGTGCTGGGTTCTCTATATGCAGGGTGCTCTGTGTGCTGGGTGCTCTCTGTTCAGGGGGGCTCCTTGTTCAGGGGTGGTCCCTGTGCTGGGTGCTTCCTGTGCAGGGTGCTCTGTGTTCAGGGGTGCTCTGTGTTCAGGGGTGCTCCATGTTCAGGGGTGCTCTGTGTGCAGGGTGCTCCCTTTTCAGGGGTGCTCCCTGTTCAAGGGTGCTCCCTGTGCAGTGTGAAGTCCCCCCGAGGAGATGGATCCCCCTCAGCACAGTCAGGACACATCAGATCCAGCTCCAAACTCTTTAATGTCCCACCCTTGGCTCACAGCTCAGCGCCAAGGATGCTCTCCCCCCCAGGGATGATCTTCCCCCCCAGCAACCTCCCCTGGACCTCGTGTCCCCCCCAGGCCACACACTCAGAGCTGGCTGAACCCAAACGACATTTCCAGCTTGTAGGAGCCTCTGGAAGGAGAATCCATGGGGGAGCCCAACAATCAGGGGTGGAAAATAGGGCTGTGAGCCCCCAGCGCTGCCTGAGCCATCCTTGGGGACAGCCACAGCTCCAGGGGGACAACCACAGCTCCAGGTGTGGCAGAGGGACATCCAGGGGATGCAGTCACAATGAGGGGTTTTAGGGGGCACTTTGCTCTGTTTTTGGGGGCACCTTGCTCTGTTTTGGGTCCCCATCCTGCCCTGCTCTGCTCCCTTAGGGCACCGTCCTGCTGGGGCGATGGCAGGGCTGCAGGACACCTCCTCAGGGGACAAGGGACACCTCCTTGGTATCCCTGAGATCCCTCTGCCTATTTGCTGCTCCTGGCTGTGTCCCCCTGGCCCTGGGGGCTGGCCCTGTCCTCCCCTGGCCCCAGCAGAGGCTGCTTCATGTCCTGGTCCCCATGGTCACTCATGGACATCTCAGCCAGGGCCTCGGCCATGGCCTGGCGGACGTTCTCGGTCAGTTTGGGGACATCCTTTGGGCTCAGGCCACACGTTTCCACCCTGGGGAGGACTTGGATGGTGCAGGTCCCTGAGAGAGGAGGGAAAAACCAGGGATGTGTTAGAGGATCCCAGCAGGAACTGGGTATTCCCCCAGGCATCTTCCACCCCAGCTGCCTCCCCACCCCTCAGCGTCCCTCAGACACCCCCAGGTGCCTCATCCCCGGTGCCAGCCCTGCCCTCTGCCATGGGAATTCCTGCCCATCCCTTACCTGAGGTGAATCTCTTCTCCTCGGGGCTGAAGAAGTCCCTGTATGGGGAGATCACTATGGGGACAATGGGAACCTGCAGGACAGAGAGGGTCAGGGGGGGACCCCAGAGAGAGCCCTTCCCAGATGAGACTCCTGCTCCTGCCTGTCCCTCCCTGGTGCTGCCCAGCACCATGGCCCTCCTTGGGGACCAAATCCCTCCATCCCTGAGGACAAAATTCCCATCCCTGAGGACCAAACCCCTCTTCCCTGGGGATCAAGCCCCCCTCCATCCCTGGGGACCAAATCCCCCCTCCATTGCTGGGGACCAAATTCCCCATCCCTGGGGACCAAATCTCCTCATCCCTGGGGACAAAATCTCCCCATCCCTAGGGATCAACCCTCCCATCCCTGGGGACGAAATTCCCCCATCCCCAGGGATCAAACTCCCAATCCCTGGGGACAAAAGATCCCCATCCCTAGGGACCAAACCTCCCCATCCTTGGGGACCAAACCCCTGCATCCCTGGGGACCAAATCTTGCACATCCCTGGGGACCAAACCCCCATATCTCTGCCCCAGGGTTCACACCCACTCTGCTCCATCCATGGTGAGCCAAAGGGAAGGAATAATTTTGGAAAAGACCTCCAAGTCCATCGAGCCCAACATTTGATTACCCATTTCCTTACCTGGGCCTGCACGGCCAGGTGGAAAGCGCCACGCTTGAAGGGCAGCATGGACCTACCCGGGTTCCTGGTGCCTTCAGGGAAAACCCAAACACGGAGCTGCAGGGGACAGGGACAGAGGTGACCCCGTGCTTTAGGCTGAAAGGTGTGGCTGGGGTGTGTGTTCTACTATCATCTGTTAGAGTGAGGCAGTTATCTCTGTTCATTGGGCATTTTCTTTATCTCTTTCACAGTCAATCCTCGATCCAGGAGATCTCTTCTGTCCATGGCTCATTAATTATTAATTATCTTCTGTCCATGGCCAGTGAGTGTCCCTGCAAGGCTGATCAAATTCCATCATCCCATGGGGAGATGCTCCGCCAAGGGGAGGAGCCAAGCATTCCTACCTGGATCCAGTCTGAGGTTTGGAACATTCCTACCTGGATACAATCTGAGGTTTCAAGCATTCCTACCTGGATACAATCTGAGGTTTGGGACACCCCAGCAGCCTTTGCCCACTGCATTCCCAGAGGAGCAGCTTTCTGCTGCCCTGCATTGCCAGAGGGAGCCCAGGCCCATCTCCAGCAGCCCTGGAGCTGCAGAGGAAATCTCCCCCCTTGTTCAGGATCCCTGCTCCACCAGAACCACAGCTGGCACTGCAGGAGGGCTGAGCCCCCATGGGATGGGGCTGGGCCACCACCCTGTGTGGCAGGGCATGGTCTGACTCTGTCCATGGTTGTTGGTTTTGTTTGTACTATAGCATTTGTATTTTTCGGTTTCCTAATAAAGAATTTTTATTCCTACTCCCATATCTTTGCCTGAGAGCCCCTTAATTTCACAATTATAATAATTCAGAGGGAGGGGGTATGCATTTTCCATTTCAAGGGAGGCTCCTGCCTTCCTTAGCAGACACCTGGCTTTCCAAACCAAGACACCCCGACCTCAGCTGAGTGAGTCCTGCCCACAGCCTGTGGCATTCACATTCTCTGAAAAAATCCCTTCACCCAGGATTTTTCTCCTGGGAAGCTGAAAGGCAGCTGAGAGGCCTCAGAGAAAAGGAAAACAATTCTTATCTCATTTGCTTCTCCTGTGCTGTGCTCATGTGGAATGTGTTTGGAGATTGTTTACCCACAGGTGATTGTTCCATTGGATTCTGCTGTGAGTTGTTTTCACTCTTTGGCCAATCAGGGCCAAGCTGTGTCAGGACTCTGGAAAGAGTCACGAGTTTTCATTATTATCTTTTTAGCATTCTGTAAGTATCCTTTCTGTATTCTATAGTATAGTATAGTATTCTTTAATAGAATATAGTAAAATAATAATATATATTATTACATATTATATTATACTATATTCTATTAATATATAATAATAAATATTAATGTATTTAATTTACATTATTAATTCATTTATTATTCTATATTAATATTGTATTCATATAAAATAATAAATTCTATAGTAATAATTCTTTAATAGAATATAGTATAATTAATAGAATATAGTATAATAAAGTAATTATATAGTATAATAAAGTAATAAAAAAGTAATATTATAGTACAATAAAGTAATAATAAAGTAATAATTATGGAGTAATAACTCCATGTAATAACATTGAGTTAGGTGCATTGCTCTTCCCTGCCAGGGGGCTCGCTGTGCATTCACACTAACAGCCCCTGACCCCCCTGGTGTCCCCCAGCCGTGTCCCTCACGTTCTCTCTCCTCATGGTGCTGGCAGTGCGGGTGATGACCTCGATGGCCGCGTCCCTGCGCTGGCGCTCAATGAAGATGATGCCACTGAGCCAGCAGGCCCAGCCCACCGTGCCCAGGTAGAGCAGCTCCCGCTTGGCGATGGGCACGCAGCGCTCAGGAATCACCTCCACCATTCCTGGGGCGGGGAGAACACCCGTTAATACCTTCCCAACCCATGGCAGTGGCAGCAGAAAAATCACCTGGGAAAACTGCTTGGAAACGGAACCCCTGGGCTGGACCAACCAGCTGGATATCAGCAATAAATTCTGCAGCTCAGCCCTGAGAGGTGATAATTGCAGAGAGGTGATTATCAGTCCTGAGAAGTGATAACTGCAGAGGGGAACTCTCTGGAGAGGCCAAATTACATCAGTGCACAGATTATTAATCATTTATACCCTAATATAATTTATACCCTAAGTAATCATTTATATCCTAATATAATTTATACCCTAAGTAATCATTTATACCCTAATATAATTTATGCACTATTTAATAATTTATACCCTAATATAGGACCAGGTTGGGGTTGTTTTAGCCTTGATTTAAAGGACTTTAAGCTGTCCCCAATCCCAGGACCACTCTGTGGCATCACCTCCCATTGTCCCTCCTCTCCCTCCAGCACAGCCCAGTCCCAAAACCCCTCCTGGTCCGTTCCCACCACACATCCCTGCCCTGATCCCGGTGCTGACCCCCCCAAATCCATCCTGGCGCACCCCTGGGGCCCGCAGAGGTTCCGGGGGTCCCCCCACGCACCCATGAGGTCCAGGGAAGCCTGGTGGTTGCAGACGATCACGAAGGGCCCCGGCAGCCGCAGCCGCTCAGAGCCCCTCACTCGCATCCTGATGCCGTAGAAGCGTTTGAGGGGCAGGACCGCCGCCCGCAGGAGCCTGCCGAGATAAGGGACCAGATAAAGGATCAGATAAGGATCGAGATAAGGGACAACATAAGGGATGAGATAAGGGACGACATAAGGGATAAGGGAGAACATAATGGATGAAATAAGGAACGAGATAAGGCACCAGAGAAGGGACGAGATTAGGATCGAGATAAGGGACGACATAAGGGATGAGATAATGAACAAGATAAGGCAGAGGGATACGTGCGGGGAACGGCTCTGGGCAGGCGGGTTTAGGGTGGGCTGCGCTGCTGGACTCAGGCTCAGGGAATTTTGGATGGACTTCTCACACATTTACAGCCTGTGAGGCTCAGAACTCGCCTGGCTCCCACCTGAGCTGAGCCCAGCTCCTGGCTCAGAGCAGAGGGAGCAGCATGAGGTGGTGGCAGGGAAAAACTGGGCTTTTGATGTGCAGGGATGATGGGAAAGCAAAAATAGAAGGGGTGGGATGGGGATAGGGACGGGAAAAGGGGTGGAGATGGAGACAGAGACGGGAAAGGAGATGGGGGTGGGGACGGGGATGGGGATGAGGTTTGGGGATGGGGATGAGGTTTGGGGATGGGGATGGGATCTTCACATCCCACGGAGGACAAACTCTCTCTGCCCGGGGGAGCTTCCCCAGGTGCTCAGCTGGATCCGTGTGTGGATGGAAATCCCAGACTTCCAAAGCCAAAGGTGGATCCCAGCAGGGAAAAGCCGAACTGGGGACGGGTGGCAGAGGGACAGACAGATCCCCAGTGATGTGGGGGACACTAGGGACCGCCCCTGCACCGCTTTGTGCGGCAGGGTGAAGGGAAAACCAGCTCGGACATTCCTATGGGGAATCACAAATGGCTCCACCGGAGCCGCAGTGTCGGGAAGAGAAGGATCTGAGCGAACAGAGGTGTCACATCCCGGGAGGGCTGGACAGGAGGAGGAATATTGGGATGGCAGTGATGGGTGACGCTCAGGACGGGAATAATGAGAGGAGTGGAGGGAGGAGGGGGCACCAGGGATTGCAGCAGCCGAGGAGACAAAATCCTGGGACGCGTCGGTGTTGGAATGGGGCACTGTCCGACCCACAGGGGGTCTGTGCCAGGGTCCCCACATCTGTCACTGCCCCCAGGGGACAGCGCAGGGCGCAGGGAAGGGCTCAGCACCAGGTGAGAAGGGAGAAGGCAGCACAGGGTCCGCGGTATCGCCCCCATCCCTCGGGAGCCGCAGGCTCGAAGATCCCTGAGGATCCGAAGAGGAGCGGTGCCCCAAAGCCAGGATAATGACAGGAAAGCGTCATCCCGCAGGCTCCGGGATCCGGAGGAGAGGGAGCTGGGCGAGCACGGAGCTGCGGTGGGACGAGATAAGCGGCGCTGATAAGGCGGGAGAGGCGCGGCCTCCCTCGGGATCGCCGCCCAGCAGGAAGTGCTGGAGCGGCCCGGGATGAGCCCGGCGTTCCCCGGGAAGGACCCGCGACAGGCTGCGGAACCGCTGGTACTGCCGAACCACCGCCGGGAACACCACTGCAGCACCGCCGGTACCGCCGAATCATCAGCGGGAACACCGAACCACCGAACCACCTACCGGGAACACCGAACCTCGGACTGATAGCACCGAACCGCTGCCGGTACTGCCGAACCACCGCCGGGAACACCGAACCACTGCCGGAACACCGAACCTCGGACTGATAGCACCGAACCACTGCCGGTACTGCCGAACCACTGCCGGGAACACCGAACCACCGCCGGGAACACCGAACCTTGGACTGATAATGCCGAACCTCAGACTGATAACACCGAACCACCGCCGGTACCACTGAACCAGCTCCAGGAACGCCAAACTACCACCAGAACCACCGAACCACCTTCAGTACCACTGAACCACCACCGGGAGCACCAAACCTCGGACTAATATTACCAAACCTCGGACTGATAACACCGAACCACCACCGGTACCACTGAACCTTGGGCTGAAAACACTAAACCATCACCGGGAACACCAAACTACTGCCGGGAACACCAAACCTCAGACTGATAACACCGAACCACCACCAGTACCACTGAACCACTGCCGGTACCACCGAACCTCAGGCTGGGAACACCGAACCACTGCCAGTACCACCACTGCAGCACTGCCAGTACTACCAACCACTGCCTGGAACACCGCACCTCTGACCAGTACCACCGAACCTCGGACTGATAACGCTGAACCTCAGACTGGTACCACCGAACCACCGCTGGTACCACTGAACCCTGAAAACACCAAACCATCACCGGGAACACTGAACCACTGCTGGGAACACAGAACTCAGACTGATAACACCAAACCTCCAGCCAGGAGCACCAAACCACCACCGGGAAAACCGAACCTCAGACCGGTACCACCAATCCAAGTGAGTGGTACCACTGAACCTCAGAGCGGTACCACCGAACCACCACTGGGAACACTGATGCACCACTGGGAGCACCGAACCTTGGACTGGTAACACTGAACCTCTGTCTGGTTACACCAAACCACCACCAGTACCATCAAGCCTCTGACCAGGAACACCAAACCTCAGACTGATAATACTGAACCGCTTCTGGGAACACCAAACCACTACCGGTACCACTGAACTACTGCTGGGAACACTGAACCATCCCCGGTACCACCGAACCTCAGACTGATTACACCGAACCATCACCAGGAACACCAAACCACTGCTGGGAGCACTGAACCATCACCAGTACCACCAAAGCTCGGACTGATAACACTGAATCACCGCCAGGAATGCTGAACCTCAGACTGATAACACCGAACCTGGGACCAGTACCACCAAACCTCAGACCAGTAATACCGAACCACCACCAGTACCACCAAACCTTGGACTAGTACCACCGAACCTCAGACTGATAACACCAAACCACCACTGGTACCACCAAACCACCACCAGGAACACTGAACCACCACCAGGAACACTGACCCTTGGACCGGGAACACCAAACCTCCGACTGGTACCACTGAACCTCGGACTGATAACACCGAACCACCACTGGTACCACCAAACCACTGCCAGGAACACCGAACCACCACCACCGGGAACACTGACTCTCAGACCGGGAACACTGAACCTCCAACCGGTACCACCGAACCTCGGATTGATAGCACCGAACCTAGACTGATAACACTGAACGACCACTGGTACCACCGAACCTCAGGCTGGGAACACTGAACCACCACCAGGAACACTGACCCTTGGACCGGGAACACCAAACCTCCGACTGGTACCACTGAACCTCGGACTGATAACACCGAACCACCACCAGTACCACTGAACCACCACCAGGAACACCAAACCAGCACTGGGAGCATCAAACCACCTCTGGGAACACTGAACCACCGCCGGTAGCGCCAAACCTTGGACCGGTACCACCAAAGCACCACCGGGAACACCAAACCTTGGACTGGTAACACTGAACCTCGGACTGATAACACTGAACCACCATCAGTACCACCAAACCTCAGGCTGGGAACACCGAACCACCACCAGGAACACTGAACCTCGGACCTTGTCTTGGACTGATAACACCAAACCTCAAACTGATAACACCAAACCTCAAACTGATAATACCAAACCTCAGACCAGTCTCACCAAACCACTACCAGTACCACTGAACCTCCAGATGATAACACTGAACCCGTGGCCACGGTCCCACCATGGGCAAGGATCTCTCCACACAAATCCTCAGAGTTTCTCAAGCTGGGACATTTTCCTGTGTAATTACATCTGTGCTCATCCTGCCTGGGAATCCAGCAGCAGCTGGATTGCAACACCCTGAGCGTGCCCAGGCCTTCCCCTGGTGTTACACTGAGATGTTATCTCCTCCCTGCTGTTATCTCCCCGGTGTTATCTCCCTGGTGTTATCTATCTCCCTGCTTCCACCCCCAGGAACAGAGTCGGGACAGGGCTGTGATCAGGACATGGCTGTGACAGGGGAGGGCTGGGATCAGGACATGGCTGTGACAGGGACAGGACTGTGCCCCTGACAGGTGATGGCACCAAGAGATCCCAAAACCATAAAAACATGGAACGGTTTGGGTTGGAAGGGACCTTAAACCCACTCAGTGCCACCCCAGCCGTGGCAGGGACACCTCCCACTGTCCCAGGCTGCTCAAAGCCCCATCCAGCCTGGCCTGAGACACTTCCAGGAATGGGCAGCCATGGAATAATCTGTGCCAGGGCCCTCCACCCTCAATCCCTCTGCCAGCGTGCTGTTCCTGGGTCCCCCATGGGCAAAACCAGAGCCAGGGACACAGCACTGGGCATGTATCTGCCCCCTGCCCTGATGGTACCTCCAAATCCCCCATTACCCACCCAGGTGGTCACCCCAACATTGCCATGGCCAGGAATGATCCCTTTTATGTTATTTCATCCCTCAGGGACCACAAATCCCAACTCCAGCATGGCCTGACCCTCCCTGGGCACAGGCAATACCACAAGCTGCCCTTCACTGCCCCATGGATGTGACCACAGCCCTGGCCTTGGCCCCAGGGCTCTGTGACCCAGCTGTGGTTCTGGCCAGGGCAGGACAGAGCCTGTGGCCACAAACCACAGGATTTCCTTGCTGAGCCAAGCCCCAGCCAGCTCTCCCCATCCCCATCCCTCACTCACCTCATGTTCTCCACGGAGCGTCCCCGGAAGGCGGCCAGGGGGGACAGCAGGGTGGCCAAGGCCACGATCCAGCAGTTGAAGAAGGCCACCTTGCAGAGGAACTGGACGTGGGGGCTGCACCTGTAGAGCAGCAGCGCTGCCAGGGGCAGGAGCAGCAGCCCCTGGAGCAGCAGCAGGTCCATGGTGCTGCCCCAGCTCAGCCCGGGCCAGGTGAATCAGGAGGATCCTGTGTGGGTGGCTGGGGCTGGCCCAGGGGAAGGTTCTCTGTGCATCTCATCCTGAAGATGGAGTGGCTCAGGTGGAAGCAGGACACCCACCCAGGGGTGGAGAGTGGCTGTGAGTCACATGGGGACCCTGAGTCACCTGAGGTGTCACTGCTGTCACCTCCTGGGCTATTGAAGACTCCGGGTCGGTGAGATCAGACATGATGCTCACTGAACCCTTCCTGTCCTGGGTATCTGTCCTGTGTTGCCACATTTCCCTTCACAGAGAAAAGCAAGGCACAATTCTCCTCAAGAATATTTCTGGGTTTCACATTCTCTAAACCTCAGAGAAAGAGAAAGCACAATTCTTACTTATCACTTGCTGTGCCTGTGTTTGTGCCAAAGTAGAATACAATGTGGAGATTTTTTACCCACAGTGATGGTGTTTTGTTTCCTTGACCTATTAGGGCCAGGTGTGTAGTCTCACATTTCTCTTCACAGAGTAAAGCAAGGCACAATTCTCCCCAAGAATATTTCTGGGTTTCACATTCTTTGAACCTCAGAGAAAGGAAAAACAATTCTTATCACTTGCTGTGCCTGTGTTTGTGCAAAAGTAGAATGCAATATGGAGATTGCTCACCCACAGTGATGGTGGTTTTTTTCCTTGACCTATTAGGCCCAAGTGTGTAGCCCCCCATTTCTCTTCACAGAGAAAAGCAAGGCACAATTCTTCCCAAGAATATTCATATCTCATTTGCTGTGCCTGTGTTTGTGCCAAAGTAGAATGCAATATGGAGATTGTTTACCAAAAGTGATGGAGTTTTGTTTCCTTGGTCTGTCAGGGCCAGGTGTGTGTGTGTGTTGGACTGTTGGGTGACAGTCACGGGATTCTGTGCAGTGTGTGCAGGGTTGAGTGCTTGGCAGGTTCAGTTTAGATGTATAGAATAATATAAAGCCATTAATCAGCTTTCTGATATCCATGGAGTCAGACCCATTCTCTCTCCCTCACCAACATCAGAGTCACCTTTGATTCCCAATAGTCCTGGCCAGGGGCTGCCAGCCCTGGGACAGGGAGGCTCAGCTGGTGGGGACAGCAGGAGCTGCTCTGGTCCATGCTGGGCACCCAAACCTCTCCCTGCAGAGCCTCAGGTGGCTGGGACACATCTCCCATCTGGGATGGTAGCAGGAACCCCTGCTCCCCATCCCCTGCTCAGTTTGGGCAGCAGGAGCCCCTGTGCCCTTCCCCTCCAGTGCCCAGCTTGTGTCCCCAGGGTCCCACAGTGCCTGGGGACTGGGGTGGCTCTGTCATCCCCCTTTGCCAGCCCTGCAGGGGTGGCAGCCCTTGGCCCAGTTGGCAGCCAGGGGCCGTGTTGCATGAGGTGTTTTCAGGGGTGCAATTAGCACAGGCTGTAATTAACCTCTCCTCCTGCTCTGGTGCCTTGCAGGATCCAGGCCAGCCCCCTGGAAACTCCTAGAACCAAGTCCTGGTGACAGCAGGGACCAAGTCCTGGTGACAGCAGGGACACTGGGTTGGTGTCAGCCCCCAGCCCCTCTGGTCCATTCCCAAACCAGGAATCCCAGAATCCCAGGAGGGTTTGCGTGGGAAGGACCTCACAGCCCATCCAGTTTCACCCCTGCCATGGCAGGGACACCTGCCACCATCCCAGGTGGCTCCAAGACCATTCCCACCTGGCTTGGGACACCCGCAGGGCTGGGGAAGTGGGGACACCCCTGTGCTGCTGCCATCCCTGGGCTCAGCCCTGACCCAGCAGCAGCAAAATCCCCTTGTGCCTCCCCTTGTGCCTCTCTGGGGTCTGCCAGTCCCCGCAGGCACACCTGGGCATTGTCACCTCTGCTGAGACCCCCAGCCCTCCCCTGGCAGGACCCAGCCTCAGCCCAGCATCTCTGCATCACTGCCCTGACACTGTGATATTTTCTGAAAAATCCCTTTTGCCAGGATCTTTTCTCCTGGGAAGCTGGGGAGCTTCAGCTTCTCCATGTTTTGCTGCTTTGGGATGTGATTTGGAGAATTGTTTACCCAGCATGTGAATTGATTTTAATTAATGGCCAATCACAGGTCCAGCTGTGTAGGGGCTCTGGTCAGTCACAAGATTTTATTATTCATTCCTTTCTTAACAGGATTTTATTGTTCATTCCTTTCTAGCCTTCTGATGTCTCCTTTCTATTCTTTTAGTGTAGTTTTAGTATATAATTTTCTTTTAATATAATATAACATCATAAATTAATAAATCAGCCTTCTGAAAGATTCTCATCTCTCACCTCATCCTGGGGACCCTCAAACACCACCCCAGTTCCCTCCCACCCTGGAGGTGACAGAGCTGTCCCCAGGCTCTGGCCAGGCTGGAGGGTGCCCCAGTTTGACCAGTAACCCCGGGGTTACGTCCAGCAGGGCTGTTGCAATGCCCATTGCTTCACCCTCCCATTCCTCTCATTATTCTCATGTTTAAGCAAAGATTGGGTCACATCCCGAGCCCACCCTTCCTGCCCTGCCCATTCCAGGTGACTCCTCACTCCTCCTCCCCATTCTGTGTCCCTGGGGGGCCTTTGGGCACCATCTGCTCTCCCATCCATCCCAGCTCTTCTTTTGGATGCCTCCTTCAGTCCTTCCCTGTCACAGCCATCTTTTATGGAAAATCCTTTCCTTAGGATTGTTCCTCCTCAGAAGCTGAGAGGCCTCAGGAACAAAATGTAAACAATGGTTATCTGCTGCTGTGGAATGCAACAGGTGCATCTGTGATTGGTCTCATGTGGTTGTTTCTAATTAATGGCCAATCACAGCCAGCTGGCTCAGAGCCACAAACCTTTGTTATCATTCTTTCTTTTTCTATTCTTAGCTAGCCTTCTGATGAAATCCTTCCTTCTATTCTTTTAGTATAGTTTTAATGTAATATATATCATAAAATAATAAATCAGCCTTCTGAAACATGGAGTCAGATCCTCATCTCTTCCCTCAACTTAAGACCTCTGTGAACATGGTTACAACAAGTCAAGGCACATCCCATCCCCAATATTGGTAATACCAATACAGAAGGTTTCCAGCTCCTTTGGAGATGGATTTCCCAGGAATTCAGCCCCATGGATGGCTCACTTGTCCATGCAAACCACATGTGGTTGTTTCTAATTAATGGCCAATCACAGTCAGCTGGCTCAGACTCTGTCCGAGACACAAGCCTTTGTTATCATTCCTTCTTTTTCTATTCTTAGACAGCCTTCTGATGAAATCCTTTCTTCTCTTCTTTTAGTATAGTTCTATATATATATATATAATATGTCATATATTATATTATATTATATTATATTATATTATATTATATTATATTATATCCTAAAATAATAAATCAGCCTTCTGAAACATGGAGTCAGATCCTCGTCTCTTCCCTCATCCTCAGACCCCTGTGAACACGGTCACAGCTCCCAGCTGGAGGAGCTGCACCTTCCTGCTGGAACCCACCTGATCCTCCTGCTCCACATCTGGGAGCTCCTCCAGGGGCCAGGCTGGGGAGGATTTGCTCATTGCAGAGCTCAGGGAAGGGAAATCCTGCCTTCCACCGGGCAGAGGAGGGGCAGGGCAGTCCAAGGAGGGGTTTAAGGTTCTTTTCTGCATCCTCAGAGCTCCAGACCGCCGGCTCTGAGGCCTCCTGCCAGGGAAAGGCCTGGAGCCCCCCAGGGCACAGAAAGGCTGGGGGGTGGCACGGGCAGGGGACAGCTCCCATGTTTTGCGGAGAAAAGAAGAAACTTCACAACTTTGTAAAAGTTGTAAAGCCCGGTATGCTTTTATTACGATGCGCACCGGACGCAAGCCCCCAAAAAGGCATGCGTGCCTCTGAAGACCTCGGGTCTTCTTTTATCCCCTTTCTAAATGCATATGCATACAGTTTCACAATAAGTTCATACATATTCATTCCGCGTGACATTTAGCACCAGTTCTTCTTTATCAAAGGAATTTCTAAGTCGGGGGCAAATCGACTTTGTGGTCTTTTCTGTTCTTCTTTCTCTGTCTCCTTGCTGTCTCGGCATGCGAGTTTTTCCTTCAGCTTTGGCCTCACAGACTTTTCACCTTTCTTAGACACTTCACCTAATTCAGAATGGATCTTTACTCTGTCTCACCCAACGCCCAAAGCCTCCTCTGCCCCTTCCTCCTGCTCCCGGGGAGCTCAGGGGTCACTGAATGCTGGGGAACTCTGGGATTTCCATTTCAGGCTGCTCTCCCCACCACAGCCCCCCCAAAAATCCAGCTCTGGAGATTCAGCACTGCCCCAGTACCCCCTTACACCCACAGACTTGATAGGAAGCCCCCAGACCTGACAGACCCCCCAGCACCCCCTCAGCACCCCAGGCTCAGATAGACCCCCCCAAGACCTCCCCTCAGCACTCCCAGGCCTGCCATACCCCCCCAAATCTGACAGATCCCCCCAGACCTGATAGACCCCCAGCACCCCCTCACTCCCCCAAGACCTCACAGACCCCCCCAGACCTGAGAGACCCCCCCAGCACTGGCTCAGCACCCCAGGCTCTGATAGACCCCCAGCACCCCCTCACCCCCCAGACCTGAGAGACCCCCCTAGACCTGACGGAGCCCCCCAAGACCTCACAGACCCCCCCAGGGCTCCTCTCAGCCCCCCCAGGCCCTGCCAGACCCCCCCACACAGCTCTGGGCTCCCCCAGCCCCGAGGGAGCCCCTGCACCCGGGCACGGAGCCACCAGCCCATTACAGATTACACATGCAATTAATGTAATTACAGATGCTTAATTAGCGACAGCAGGGTGCTCTCTTAACAAAGCACAATAATGACAGGGGATGCTGTGCTGGGAGCTGGAGGGACAAATGGAGGTGGGGACCGTCCTCTGTCCCACCCCCGGGGACAGCACGGCCTGGAGGGGACTGGGGTGACACCGGGGCTGGGACAGCCCTGCCGGGAGGCTCAGAGGGGAAACCATCCCAAAAGCCAAAACCCCAAAAGCACAGGAATGGTGGAGCATCCATCTGGGATCTTTGGGGTCCAGGGAGGCAGAGCTCAGAGCCCCCTCTGCTGCTCCATGGTGTAAAACTCTGTGGGGTGGGATGGGATGAGATAATGAGATGGAACATTATTGGGATTGGATAGGACATTGATGGGATGGGACATTAGTGGGATGGGATGGGACTATGGGATGGAACATTATTGGGGTGGGATCCATGGGATGGGATCCATGGGATGGGATAATGGGATGGGATAATGGGATGGGATAATGGGATGGGACATTATTGGGATGGGATAATGGGATGGGACATTATTGGGATGGGATCCATAGGATGGGATGGGATAATGGGATGGAACATTATTGGGATGGGACATTATTGGGATGGGATAATGGGATGGGACTTTATTGGGATAGGATGGGATAATGAGATGGGATAATGGGACGGGATAGGACATTATTGGGATGGGGTCCATAGGATGGGGTGGAATGGGAAAATTGGATGGGACATTATTGGGATGGGATAATGGGGTGGGAATGGGACATTATTGGGATGGGATGGGATTATGGGATGGGACATTATTGAGATGGGATGGGGTGGGATGGTATCCATGGGATGGGATAATGGGATAGGATGGGATCCATAGGATCCATGAGGTGGGATGGGACGGGACAGGACATTATTGGGATGGGATGGGACATTATTGGGATGGGGCATTATTGGGATGGGATGAGACAGGACAGGATGGAATGGGGAAAGGCAGCAGGGAAGCTCAGCCTGGGGTGATGGAAGCCCGAGGGACAGCTGCCCTGTGGGGGCCATGGGGACAGTGTCAGTGTCCCCGGGCTGTCCTTACCCTCTGCTGGGGGCACACCGGGTCCCACGGTGCCGGTGGCGCTGGGGGGCGGCGGGGGGGGCACAGCTCTGCCAGAGAGGAGCAGCGACAGCTCAGTGACCATGGATGGTGTCCCTGGAGGCGCTGCCACACCGGGATGGCACCAACCCCCTGGCACTCACCGCCCTTCCTCGGGTGAGGAGCGCAGGAACAGCACGGGGGGCGGGCGGGGAGGGGTCCAGGGCAGGTAGTGATGGTGGAAAACCACAGCCTCCTCTTCCTCCTCATCCTCATCCTGCCAAGGCCCTGCCAGCGCCTGGGGAGGTGGACAGAGGCAGGGCTGGGCCGGGGATCCCAAAGCGCCACTGGCCGGTGTGGTAAATAGGTAAATAGGTATAATGCCAAGAAAGAAAGGGAGAGGAGGGGCTCCACACCCCCCTTTCCTGCAGATGTTCAAGGACAGGAAAAAGCAAGAGATAACAGTTACTAAAAATTAACAGAAAGAAGGGAAAATCTGGTTGGGTCCCAGGAAAATGCCAGCTATAAGAGATTTATTGCTTTGATGCTTAAATATAATATTATGTTAATCTTGGCTTGGTGCGCATGTGTAAGCCAAGGGTGAATTAAAGGACATCGAGGAAGAGGAGAGGCCTTCATCAAAAACGACCCCCAAAGACTTGTGTGACCACCAAAACGAGTGGTGGCACATGCGTGGTAAATGTGGTGATGAGGGTGGAGGTAGAAGTGTGATGAATCGAAAATGGGAGGAGATGGCATTGACACATGGCATATAAGGGGGGAATCTTCACTTGGCAAGCTCGTACATGATGTGGCAAGGGTCCAAGAGCACCCCGTACCGCACGGTTATCTTTTGCTTATGTGCTATTATTGGAACCAAATTATGTCTTATTTTCATGAAATTATATTGTCAATATTTCAAGTGTATCCAATTTTATATATTTTCTAAACTATTCAATTAAAATTGCTGCTACCTCTAATATTATTTTGTCGCAGACATCTTTTTATGAAAATCCTTTTCTTAGGATTTTTCTTCCTGAGAAGCTGGGAGGCCTCAGGAACAAAATGTAAACAATGGTTATCTCCTGCTGTGGAATGCAACCGGCCCATCTTGGATGTTTAGAATTAATGGCCAACCACAGCCCAGCTGGCTTGGACTCTCTGTCCAAGACACAAACCTTTATTATTCATTCTTTTCTATTCTTAGCTTAGCTAGCCTTCTGAGATGAAATTTTTCCTTCCATTTTTTTTAGTATAGTTTTAGTGTAATGTATATCATAAAATAATAAATCAAGCCTTCTGAACATGGAGTCAACATTCTCATCTCTTCCCTCACCTGAATACCCCTGTGAACACCGTCACATTATTTGTTTTTTTTAATGATGGAATAATTGGGCAAACATAACACCGGGATCACACCCAGCTGCTTCTGCTGGCTGGGTTCAGTCCCAACAAAGCCCCAGGGGGACACGGGGGGTGGCAGCCCCACAGATGGGACCAAACCCCATGGGAAGAGCCCTTTGATCTGTGTGAGACAGTCTGAGCAGGGTCCAGTCCTGGCCAGCCCAGCCCTGGTGGCACTGGGAGGGCAGGGCTGGGTGCCAGGAGGTGCCAGCTGGCAGCGAGCTCAGCAGCTGCCACAGCCCAGCCCTGCCCCAAAAGCTGCATTGTTCTCCCCGAGGAGATGAAATGTTGTGGTTTGAGATGGATTTTTAAATGGCAGCCCCTGCAGAGCTCTTGATGGGTTTGCCTGTGTTTCCAGAGGGTCCCAGCTGGGCAGAGCTCTGCCCAAGGCCTGGCTGCTGTCTGAGCTGTCAGAGCTGGGCTCCAAACAAAGCCCCAAAACACCAAAGGCCTGCTCTGAGCTGGGCTGGGACCACCCAGGTGCTGCCCCCAGAGGGTCCCAAAGCAGGACGTGGTGACCCTGAACAGCCCTGGCAGTCTCTCTGCTCCCTCTTTGTTCCCTATGCCCCCTCTTTGGTCCTTTTTCCCCCTCTTTGGTCCCTCTGCCCCATCTTTGGTCTCTCTGTCCTTTCCTTGGTCCCTCTGCCCCAAATTTGGTCCCTTTGCCCCCTCCTTGGTCCTTCTGCCCCCTCCTTGGTCCCTTTGCCCCACTTTTGGTCCCTTTGCCCCATTTTTGCTCCCTTTGCCTCCTCTTTGTCCCCTCTGCCCCATCTTTGGTCCCTCTACCCCTTCTTTGGTCCCTTTGGCCCCTCTTTGGTCCCTCTGTCCTCTCCTTGGTCCCTCTGCCCCAAATTGGTCCCTTTGCCTCCTCCTTGGTCCCTTTTACCCTCTTTGGTCCTTCTGTCCCCTCTTTGCCCGCTCTTTGCCCCCTCTGCCCCCTCTTTGCTCCCTCCACCCCATCTTTAGTCCCTTTGCCCCCTCTTTGGTCCCTCTGCGCCCCGAGCCTCACCTGGGCTGGGGCTGTCCCTGCCCCGAGGGGCATCAGAGCTGCCATGGCCAGGCCGTGCATCAGCAGCTGGTGCATTTGGGAGCCTTGGATCATCATCAGCTCCATCAAACCTGCCCGAGGATGGGAGATTGCGCATCAGAGAGGGAGCAGAGGGACCAGGGCCTGGGATCAGTGCCCGGGAGGGGGCGGCCCCAAGGCTCCTCCCTGTTCCCAAGCAGTGGGAGCACAGCCAGCCTTCCCCTACCCCGCTTTGGAAGCCTCATGTGGTGTTTAAAAATTATTTTGCTTGGCTAAAGCTTGAAAATTGCCACATTTGAGGTTTTTCTTCCTTGCTGGCTCATGTGGGGGAGCTGAGCAGGGACAGCAGGGACAGGGGCTGTGGTCAGTGGTTAATGGGGCTGGAGGGACCAGATTTTCCTCCCATTCTGGGCAGAGTTTCTGCAGCCCTGGCAGTGCCCAGGGCCTTGGGGAGCAGAGCACCAGGTTCAGAGCATGCCAGGCTCAGCCCTGCTCTGGGCATGAGGGGCAGTGCTGGGGAAGATGAAACAGGAAAGCCTTACAAATATGATTGCCTGGCAAAAGATATTGAGAATATGGAAACTATAACGAAATTGAAATGAAAGCAAGCTTTGAGATCCCTCAGTTACTGAACAACTGGAAAACAATGGTGTGGCCAGCTGAAGGTAATCCCCTTTTGATGGAACAACACCCTCTGCTTGCAGACAGGCCCAAGGGTCAGAGCAGACCCTACAGCTTGGCAGAAGGGGCCCAAAGAGGAGTTTTTAGGGTTTAAAATGTAGCACAGTATGGTAATGTAATGATTCTTATAGGCTGTATGGAAATGCTGTAGTATTTGTATCTTGTACTAGATTGGTTAGTGAGAATCGGAATATTCAACACAGAAGAAGATTTATTGTATTGGAACGGGAACTTTGCTGTCTTTGCTCTTACCTCTTTTACTCTTGCCTCTTAGCTCTTACTTTTCTATGCTCTTAGCTCTTTTACTTTCTCACCCTCTTACTCTCTCACCCTCTCACCCTCTCTCCCCCTCTCTTCTCTCAGCCTGCTCTGAGCTGTGTTTGGCAGCTCCCAGCAGGGCCCTGCACCCAGGCCCTTTGCAATAAATCCCAAGTTCCACAACCTGGCTTCAGAGACCTCTCATTTCCGTCCATCCCGAACCTCCTACCTCCTGATGTTCTTACAGAGCTGGGGGTGAGCCCAGGACCCCAATCCCCACTTCTGGGATCCAGGGAGGAGCAGGGTGTGGACGCTCAGTGCCCCCTCAGCTCCTGCCTGCTCCCTGTCCCCTTGGCTGGAGGCCACACTGGGGGTGTGAGGCTGCTGAGGCCCATCCACACAGAGAAAACCCCAAATCTGCCTCTGCACCCCAGAAGAACACCCCCATTTTCTGCAGGTGTGAAATTCCCATGGAAAATTCTTATACACCTGCTGGAATCCCCTGAGATCCTGCTGGCTTCATCCACCCTGAGCAGCTGTGGCTGCCCCTGGATCCCTGGCAGTGCCCAAGGCCAGGTCTCGGAGCACCCTGGGACAGTGGAAGGTGTCCCTGCCATGGCAGGGGTGAAACTGGATGGGTTTAAGGTCCCTTCCAATCCAAACCATTCTGGGATTCCCTGGAGTACAAAAGGATTTGGACCACCCCATAAAGGCTCAGAGCCAGATCCCCAGAGGCTCCAGAGGTGCCAGGCTGGCTCCCAGGACACAGGAGGTGGCTGTCCCTGCAGGCAGGGGCACCCCAGCACCTCTGCTGAGCAGGGAGCACCCCAGGGACTGAACTGGGGTGGGACACGGGGTGCTGGCAGCTCTGGGTGGGTCCACCCATCCCACCGGGGCCAGTCTGGCTCTGTTTACTCCACACTGATTTGCAGCGTCCTTTCTCCTATGATTTTTAAGGATTTTCCTTGGATTTTTAAGGGGGAAGCTCCACCTTCCCCCTCCCCACAACACAAGGTGATTCTGCCTGGGGTGTATCCCCAGTTATGACAGCTCTTTGTCCCTGCTGTCCCTGGTCACTACAGCCACTGTCCCTGCTGTCCCCAGCGATGACAGCCCCCTGGCCCTACTGTCCCTGATGTCCTCATTGACCCCAGCCCCTGTCCCTGCTGTCCCCAGCCCCCTGTCCCTGTTGTCCCTGCTGTCCCTGCTGTCCCCAGTCCTCTGTCCCTGCTATCCCTGGTGTCACCACAGCCCCTGGCCCTGCTGCCAGCCCCCCCCCCCCCCGAGCCCAGATTTCAGCCTGGGGGCACCCGGGTGGGTGAAGCCCCTCCAGGCAGGGGCACAGCCCAGGGCTCCAGCCCCTCTCAATCCCACCTTGCAGTTCCAGGAGCCTGTCTGTCACACCCCGGTGTTCCCTGGGGATGGATGGATGCCAGCAGGAAATGGGCGTTTGGAGAACAAAAACAACTGAATTTTGAAAACCCCCCCAAAAACAAACAAACAAACAAAAACACACCACCAAAAAAATCCACAACAAAAACAAAAAAACAACAACAGCAACAACAAAAAAGACCAGAAAAAACCAAACCAAACGAAACAAAAAAACCCACCAAAAAACAAACAAAAAACCCCCAGAAAACACCTAAAAACCCCAAAAAACAACAAAAAAACCACAACAAAAACAAAAAAATCCACAACAAAAAACAAACAGAAAAAAACCCAAAAACCCCACAAAAAAACACCAAAAAAACCACAAAAAACCAAGCAAAAAAAACCAAAACAAAAAAGCCCCAAAAACAAAAAAAACCCCTAAACAAACAAAAACAACCAAAAACCCCAGAAAACAACAAAAAAACCCACAAAAAACCCACAAAAAAACCACCAAAAAACCTAGAAAAAAAACAAAACAAAAAAACACAAAAAACCCCAAAACAAACAACAAAAAAAAAATCAACAAAAACCCTCCCCTCCCCCCCCCCCCAAAAAAATCAACAGAACAACCAAAAAAACCCCAAAACCCAAAAACTGTTTCCCGGGAGCATCTTGGAGCCCAGAGTTGGTAAAAGCCGCAAAATTCTCAGCCGGTGGGGCTGAACGCCCACCCGAGGACCCAAGGATGGATGGACACGGCTGAGTGTGGCTCTGCCCGCTGCTCTCCCCCGGGAAGGGCCCGATCTGGGATCTGGGATCAGGAGCGGCTGAGCCCGGCCCGGTTCGGCTCTGCCCTGCCCGGTTCTGTCCCCACGAACCTGGCCCGGTTCGGCTCTGCCCAACCCCCCGGCTGAGCCCGGCCCGGTTCGGCTCTGCCCTGCCCGGTTCTGTCCCCACAAACCCGGCCCGGTTCGGCTCTGCTCTCCCCGGTTCTGTCCCCACGAACCTGGCCGGGCGGGCGGGGGTCCCGCGGGGGCGGCGCCGGGCCCGGGCAGCGGCTGCAGGATCAGCACCGGGCACCGGGAATGCTCCGGGAACGCTCCGGGCTGCGATCCCGGGGCGCGGGGCTGCGAGGGAGGAGGGGAGGGAACACAGGGATTGTGAATTCAAAGGTTAATGCGGAGTCCTGGCAGCGGGACACGGCTGGGGACAAGGGGGACACGGCTGGGGACAGGCGGGACCGGGACCGGGGTGGTGACGGGGAGGAGAGGGGACGGGGCTGGGGGCGGGACAGGAGGGACAGAGGAAACAGGGCTGGCAGGACAGAGGGGACAGGGATAGTGGGAGGATGGAGGGGACTGGGATGGGGGCAGGATGGAGGGGACATGGCCTGGGGCAGGACAAGGATGGTGGCAGGACTGGGGGACAGGGGTGGCAGGAAGGAGGGACTGGGACGGTGACAGGACAGAGGGGACGGGGCTGGGGGCAGGACAAAGGGGACAAGGGTGGTGGCAGGACAGAGGGACAGGGATGGGGGCAGGACAGAGGGGACAGAGGTGGCAGGACGGGGGGACAGGGTTGGTGGCACTACAGAGGGAATGGAGGCGGTGGTAGGACAGGGCTGGTGGCAGGACAGGAGTGGTGGTAGGACGGAGGGGATGATGGTGGCAGGACAGAGGGGACAAGGATGGCCGGACAGGGGGGATGGTGGTGGCTGGACAGAGAGGACGGGGCTTGGGGTGGGACAGAGGGGACTGGGATGGTGGCAGGACAGAGGGACAGGGGTGGGGGCAGGACAGAGGGGACACGTTTGGGGACAGGCAGGATCGGGACAGTGATGGTGCCAGGACAGAGGGGACAGGGGTGGTGGCAGGACAGGGGGGACAGAGGGGACAAGACAGGGGGGACAGGGATGGCAGGACAGAGGGGACTTGGATGGTAGTAGGATGGAAAGGACAGGGATGATGGCAGGACAGAAGGGACATGGCTGAGGGCAGGACAGAGAGGACTGGGATGGGGGCAGGACAGAGGGGACGGAGGTGGTGGCAGGATGGAGGGGACGGGGCTAGGGACAGGACAGAGGGACAGGGATGGTGACGGGACAGGGAGGACAGAGGCGATAGGGGTGGGGACAGGACAGGGGCGACACGTCTGGGGACAGGCGGGATCGGGACTGCGATGGTGGCAGGACAGAGGGGGCAGGGGCGGTGGCAGGACGAGCAGGTGGCCCAGGGGAGCAGGACGGGAGCCCTGGAGATGGGAATTCTCTCTCCCTTGGTTTTCCAGGGACAGCGCCCTCCCATCTTGGGTCACTCCCAGACCCGTAGTGTCCCCACCCCTGGGGACAGGACCCGGGCACCTTTCGGGGTCTGCGGGGCACTTGCAAAGCCCGTAGCCCACCCAAAGCCCCGAGCCCACCCAAAGCCCCTCTCCCAGCCCCTCTCTACCCCTATCCCATCAATCCCGAGGCAGGAGCGCTCCGGGCTCACCCCAAGGACGGGGGTCCCTGCCCGGGGGTGCCCCCAGAGCCCGCGGGGGTCCCGGGCCTCTCCCCGCTCCATGGCTCGGGATCGTCTCCAGGGCTCCGGGCAAACAAACCCGGCCCAGGGAGGCTGGGCCGTGCCAGGAATGTCCCGGGCGGCTCCTCCCGGCGGGAAATGCCCGGGAAAGGCCCTGTGGACACCGGCCCGGGCTGTTCTGGGTCCCCACGGGCTGGGCCTGTCCCCGAGTGTGACAGCGATCACAGGGGTGCCAGCATGAAGAGACGAGGATCTGACTCCATGTTTCAAAAGGCTGACTTATTATTGTGAAAAATTCTTGTATTTTATGATTGGCTTTTCACAAATATATGTGTTGTGTTAGAAAGTAATGCTGTGTTAATTCTCTTAAGTACTGTGTTAAATATAGTTTTAGGTTATAAAAATTGTTAAAATAGAAACTACGCTGTGTAGGATATTTTTTTTTAAAGAAAGAACTCACAGTGAGATAGCAGCCACAGGACACCTGAATCTTTCAGAGAAAAGGAATTTATTGCTCCATTATCAGAACAAACGAACTTCTTCCTGCCTCTTGGCGCTGATAGGATTTGGAGGAAGAAGTTGGCCATGACCAGACAGAATCCTGTATTTGAATGGAATTTATGCATCATGTATGAGGTGTATGAATATGCAACAAGCTATTGCTTTTAAGGGTAAATCCTTTGTTAATGGGTGTCCTTTTTCCAGCTCCTGCTGCCCAGAAAAGGTACCCGGAAGTCAGTAACTCTTCGTTTTTATTGTCTCATATTATCCTAATTCAAATTTTGCAAATTATTGTTGTTCTAATTGTATTACTATTTTCATAAGCATTTTATTACTGTTAAACTTTTAAAATTTTAAAAACAAGTGATTGGCGTTTTTCACATTATTTTATGATATATATTCTATTAAAACTATACTGAAGCATAGAAGAAATGCTGGGGAACAAATATCTCCCAAAACTCTCATTCTGCCCCAGAACAGCACTGGAGACCCCCCCAAATTCCCCCTCCAGCCCCCAAATCCCCTCCTCCCCCCGAGCCCGGCTGCCTCAGCCCCTCCCTTGGCTCCAGTCCGGGCTATTTTCTGCTTGATTGGGTTTTTCTCTGTGTTCCTGATTTTCCCGACCCCCCCTGGATTGCTTTTCTGCCTTTTGTTAGAATCCTAAATTCCCATTATTTGCCCGTTTAATTACCGTGCTGCTTCCTGCCCGTTTTGGCAGAGCCGGGCTGGGCTGATCCCGATCTTATCTCCCCTGCGGAGGGGCTCAAACACCGGTATGGGGGTGAGGAGTGCAAGGGAGCCTCGTGCCAGGGACAGGAGGGGTGACAGGGACCTGCTCGGGGTGTCCTCAGCACCCCACGGCAGCCTGAGCCCTCTGGGGGGACAATGTGGACAGAGGGGAGGAGGAGGAGGAGAAGGAGAAGGAGAAGGAGAAGGAGAAGGAGAAGGAGAAGGAGAAGGAGAAGGAGAAAAAGAGAAGGAGAAGGAGAAGGAGAAAGAAGGAGAAAGAAGGAGGAGGGGAGGGAATTTGGGAAGTTTTCTGCAATGGGATCAGAGGGATCCCCTGGAGTGGGATCAGAGGGATTCCCTGCAATGGGATCAGAGGGATTTCCTGCAATGGGATCAGGGAGATCCAGTCCCTCTCTGGGCATCACTCAGCGTTGGCAGCAGAGCAGTGCAGAGGCGGGCAGGGCATGGGGGCGGCTCAGACCGGGAGCACCGGGAGGGGAGGAACCGAGCCCTGAGCTGCCCTGGAGGTGCCAGCACATCCCTGCTGCCGCTTCCCTTCCCGGGACGCCGAGAGTTTCCCAGAGTGAGCAAACCCCGGCAGGATCAGCCTCGCCCAAGCCTCGGGGGAGATGAGGAAACGCCGCGGCTGAGGCACCACATCCCCCGAGCTGCTGCTGCATCCCGGGGTTCCCAAAACCAGCCCCGGACCAGTCTGTCACTGCACACCGGGACAAACCCTGGCAGAGAGGGAGCTGCTGTCCCCTGGGCTGCCCACCATCACTGTCACACTCAGGACACACCGCTGGGGACGCTCTCTGCGTCCGGAGCTGTCAGTGGGTTTAAGCGCCTGTCCTGGTTTTACATGGGAGTAATAAAATGGTTATAAAATAGCAATATAATTAGAGTAATAAAAATTTGGACAATTCGGGTTAGGACAATATGAGACAATAAAGACAAAGAGTTACAGACAGTCCAGGTACCTCTTTCTGGGCAGTATAAGCCCAAAAAAGGACACCCATTAACAAAGGATTAACCCTTAAAAGCAACAGCCTGTTGCATATTTATGAACTATAATTATTTTGAACGATAACTACAAAAATCCCGTTTCCCTTCCCAGGAGGTCTCACACTGCCAGTGCTTTGATATTCATCGTCCCCAGGTTGTCACCAGCCTCCTCTTCCTCGGAATTCCCCTTCCCAGACTTGTCTCCTTCCATAGAGGAAAAGACCAGAAGATGCAGCTGGCGCGGGGCGGGGACCGCAGCTGGCACTGGCTCATTCCCTTCCCTTCCCTTCCCTTCCCTTCCCTTCCCTTCCCTTCCCTTCCCTTCCCTTCCCTTCCCTTCCCTTCCCTTCCCTTCCCTTTCTCTCCTCTGTCCATCACCACTGCCACTGTCACCGGACACAGCTACCCCACATGGGACCCGTGGTGGGTTTGGGTCCAGGATTTGCAATCCAGACAATTTGTCCTCATTTCTGTCCCTCTTGTTGCTGCCAGAGGGGACAATGAGCCCGGGCCAGCAGGGCTGGAGAGGTCACCCTCACCAGGAGGAGGTCAGGCCAGCACTGCAGCTCGGGAATGTGCACTGGGAACTGCCCCAAGGAGCCCGGAGTTCTCCATCCCCCGGGAAAGGGGAGAGGGGCTCTGTGAAAAACACCAAACACTTGGTTTTAGAATTTTAAAATTTTAATAGTAATAAAAAGATTATTAAAATAGTAATATAATTAGAGTAAGAAAAATTTGGACAATTTGGGTTAGGACAATATGAGACAATAAGAACAAAGAGTTACGGACATTCCGGGTACCTTTTCTGGGCAAAATAAGCCTGAGAAAGGACTCACGTTAACAGAGGATTAACCCTTAAAAGCAACAGCCCGTTGCATATTCATACACCTCATACATTATTCATAAATTCCATTCAAACGCAGAATTCTGTCTGGTTAGTGTCAACTTCTTCCTCTGGATCCTAACAGCGTCTTCAGGGCTGAGCGAGACAGGAAAACACGATAACAGCAATAAATTCTTTTTCTCTGAAAGATTTAGGCACCCTGTGGCTGCTATCACAGTGCAACTCCTCTCTTAAAAAATATCTTACGTAGCATATGTAAGATATCTGCATATGCAGATGTATATATAAGATATATAAGTTATCTATTATTGATACATATTATAATAATATACCTATACATATATTAGGCTCATATATCTATATATATAGATAGATATAATATATCTATCTATATATAGACTCAGCTTATATTATCTGCAGTCTATTATATTATCTGCATCTAGATATCTATTTTAACATTATGTTATAGCCTAAAACTGCATTGCTTAGTAACTGCATGATGTTATAACCCAAAACTATATTTAACACACTACTTAAGAAAATTAATACAGCATCACTTTCTAACATAACACATATAATATTCATTTTAACATTTGCAAAAAGCCAATCATAAAATACACATTTTTCACAGGCTCCCAGCCCACAGTGATGCTCTCCCGATTTCCTCTGCCCTTCCAACCAGCCCAGCCTGGCCACAGAGCCCACGGCCCATTTGCCACCAGACCAGACTGGAGCCACCAGTCACCCTGGGCCAGCAGAGCCACCCTGGGGACAGCAGAGCCACCCTGGGGCAGGGCTGGAGGAACCGTCCCAGTCTCCGCCAAGGGATGTGACCCTCGCTCACATCCCGTCCCAGCTGCGCCCCATTCCTGCAGCCTTTTTCTAGTGGTTCTCCAGCCGTTCTCCAGCTGTTCTCCAGCTGTTCTCCAGCGGTTTTCCAGCGGTTCTCCAGCTGTTCTCCAGCCAGGCCGCCCCGAGGGGCCGGGAGGGGCTCGGTGTCCTCCTGGGTGTCCCGAGGTGCCGATGGTGCCCGTGGGGGGGGGCAGCGCCAGCCCGGGGTCCCTCCCGAGCTGCTCCATCCATCCCGGCGGAGGGAGGAGCCTCCGCATCCCCGAGCGGTGACACCGAGCCCGGCGGCGACAGCGACAGCACAGCGGGGACAGGGACAGCGCAGCGGGGACGCGGACAGGGAAGGGTCCGGAGGGACACGGGACAGGACAAGGCAGAGGGAGGTGCGGGGCACACCCCGAGCCCCGGGCCGTGAAGGAGCAGCCGGGCTGTCCCCAGACCCTCCTCGGGGACAGAGCCGGGACCCCGCTGCCTCAGCCATGGGGGGACCCTGGCAGCCGCCCCGGCCCCGCTCGCTGCTGCTGCTGCTCCTGCCTGCGCTCCAGGTGAGGGACCCTGAGGACAGGGTGGGGGGCACCGGGGGTCCCCCATGCCAGACACCTGTGGGGATGGGAGCAGTGAGGGGTCCTCCTGCCCAGGGTGGGGGTTCCCATCCCATTATCCCATCCCATCCCATCCCATGGATCCCATCCCACCCCATCCCATGGATCCCATCCCATCCCATCCCATCCCATCCCATCCCATCCCATCCCATCCCCCTCTCTCATGCTCCAGACCTGGGGGATGCCCTGCCAGACCCCTTGGGGACTTTCCCTCAGCTCCTGGGGACAATGTGGTGACAAAGGTGATGCTGGGACCCAGGGCAGAGGTCCTGAGGGTTCAGGTCCCAGGGATGATCCCTTGGGAATGGATCCTCCACCCCACACCATACAGAGCACCTCCAGCACTGGGGTTGGGTGCAGGGGGTGCAGGGGACAGGGACAGCCATGGGTGACCCCCAGGACAGGGATATGGGCATGGCTGGCACCAAATCCCTGCGGGAATGGGGGCACTGGGGCAGTTGTGCTGCCAGAGGGAGAGAAACAGCTCTGGGGTGGTCAGGCTGTGCTGGAGAAAGGGGAGGGAGGGGAAAGGGGAGGGGAAGGGAAAGGGAAAAAGGGGGATAAGGGGGAAAAGGGGGGGAAATGGGAAAAAGAAAAAAGAGAAAAAAGAGAAAGAAGGGAAAAGGAAAAAAGGGAAAGGGAAAGGGAAAAAGGGGAAAATGAAAAAGGGAAAAGGAAAAAACTGAAAAGGAAAAAAGAGAAAAGGAAGAAAGAGAAAAGAAAAATAGAAAAGGAAAAAAGAGAAAAGGAAAAAGGGGAAAGGAAAAGGAAAAGGGAAAAAGAAAAAAGAGAAAAGGAAAAAGGGAAAGGGAAAAAAGGGTAAACAAAAAAGGGAAAAGGAAAAAAGCAAAAGGGAAAAAAGAGAAAAAAGGGGGGAAAGGGAACAAAGGGGGGAAAATGGAAAACGAAAAAAGGGAAAGGGAAAAAAGGGAAAAGGAAAGGGAAAAGAGAGGGAAAAGGGGGGAAAAGGGGGAAAAGGGAAAAAGGGGAAAAGGAGGGAAAAGGGAAAAAAGAGGAAAAAGGGAAAAAAGGGAAAAGAGAGAAAAGGAGAAAAGGAAAAAAGGAAAAAAGGAAAAAAGGAAAAAAGGAAAAAAGGGAATGGGAAAAGGAAAAGGAAAAGGGAAAGGGGAAGGGGGAAGGAGAAGGGAAGCTGGGCTGTGGGAGCACTGGAGGCTCACAGGGTATTAGAGACTGATGGCATCAGGCTCCTTCCAGTGGGGAAACTGAGGCACAGCAGGAATTCCCTGCCCTGCAGGGAGCTCGGAACGGAGCCCTGCACATTCCCTGTTCCTGTCTAGCATCCTGGCCCTGCTGCCATAAATAACAAACCAAACCCAGCAGCTCTGCAGCCAAAGAGGGGTGAGAGAAACCCCCCTGCCCCATCCATGCCCCCATCACTGGCAGGATGGAGGAGGAGCAGAATTCCTGGGCCTTCCCAGTGCTGTGCCCAGAGCCATTCCCAAAATGCCTTTTCCAGGCTGAAATTCCCTTGAAATCTTGTGTTCAGCAGGAAAAGGACACAAAATCTCCTGGGGGAGGTGAGAGGACCCTGAAGAGGGGCTGCTTGGCCAGGACAGGGCAGGGCTCAGCCAGGGGATGCTCCAAGGTCCCACATTCCCTGTGTTGGGAAGCTCAGGGATCCGCCCTCATCCCTCTGTTCCTGCAGCTCCTACACCTCTGGCCCCTCACTGGAACAATCAGCAACACAAACCCAGGTCTGGGCATCAGATCCATGTCCCAGACAGACCTGGACCTGCTGGGATGCTCGGGAATGGGCAGGGATGTGGGAATGGGCATGGAGAGATACATAGGAATGGGCACTGACACCTGGGAATGGGCAGAGATGTGTGGGGATGGGCATGGAGGAATATATGGGGATGGGCATGGACACTTGGGAATAGGCAGGCATGTGGGAATGGGCATGGAGGGATGCTTGGGAATGGGCAGGGACACCTAGGAACAGGCACAGACATTTGGAAATGGGCAGGGATACATGGGAATGGGCACAGACATTTGGGAATGGGCAGAGATGTGTGGGAATGGGCAGGGATGTGGGAATGGGCATGGAAGGATGATTGGGAATTGGCATGGATATGTGGGAATGGGCACAAACACTTGGGAATGGGCATGGAGGGATGTTTGGGGATGAGCACAGACGCCTGGGAATGGACAGAGATGTGGGAATGGGCATGGGCACTTGGGAATGGGCAGAGATGTCTGGGAGTGGGCACAAACAAACACTTGGGAATGGGCACAAAAACTTGGGAATGGGCACAGACACTTGGGAAGGGGCAGGGAATGGGCACAAAAACTTGGGGATGAGCAGGAATGTGTGGGAACGAGCATAGACATTTGGGAATAGGCAGGGAATGGGCACAGATAGTTGGGAATGGGCACAGACACTTGGGACTGGGCACGGATACCCAGCAATGAGCAGGCAGAGTTCCTGGCGTGTCCCAGTTCAGCCTGAGTGTCCCAGTTCTCCAGCTGGGAGCTGAGGAGGCAAATCCCAAATCAGGGATTCCCAGACAATCCAATCCAATCCAATCCCTGCAGCCACCACGTCTCCCACATCTTTGGGATCTGGACATTCTCCCTGGTGCTCCATCAGCTCTGCTGGCAAAGCCCAGGGCTGGGAATGTGGGGTCTGCACTGCCCACATCCCACTGGGATAATGGGAGGTGTCCATGCCACTGGTGGGGGGGGACTGGGATGGGTATGTGGTCCCTTCCAACCCAACTCCACAATTCCATTTCTACAATTCCATGACTCCAATTGCACAATTCCATGGCAGGTGGCGACTGGGATGGATATGTGGTTCCTTCCAGTCCAATTCCATTATTCCATTTCCACAACTCCACTATTCCATTTCTACAATTCCATTACTCCATTTCTACAATTCCATGATTCCATTTCCACAATTCCATGACTCCAATTCGACAATTACATGGCAGGTGGGGACTGGGATGGGTATGTGGTCCCTTCAACCCAAATCCATGATTCCATTTCTACAATTCCACGACTCCATTCCACAATTCCAAGACCCCAATTCCACAATTCCATGGCTCCAATTCCACAATTCCACGGTTCTCCTGCCTGCCCTTTCCCCTCTCCAAGGTGCAGGGGACTCATCCCGACTGCTCCGTCGTGCTCCACTTCCAGCAGCTGGAGGAGGAATGTCTGCAGAGGATCCGGAGCGAGAGCCCCAGCCCGGGGCAGGCAGGGCAGGGTGAGCCTGGATCAGCTCCCTGGGAGCAGGGGGGAATCCTGAGGGGTGCCTGGAGGGTGACCATGGGAGGGGATTGCAGAGCACTCATGGGTTTGGGATTTCCAGGGAAATGAGAACAGCACTAAGGAAAGGCCAAGGAGAATCCCCGGAGAGTGCCAGAAATGCTGTTGGGATGGGATAGAGGGGATTGAGGGGGATTGAGGGGACACAAATAACAGCCAGAACTCAGCCCCGGTGGGTTTAGAGAATCCTGGAGTGGTTGGGACTGGGAGGGACCTCAAAGCCCACCCAGTGCCACCCCTGCCATGGCAGGGACACCTCCCACTGTCCCAGGCTGCTCCAGGCTCTGTCCAGCCTGGCCTTGGGCACTGCCAGGGATCCAGGGGCAGCCACAGCTGCTCTGGGCACCCTGTGCCAGGGCCTGCCCACCCTCCCAGGGAACAATTCCCAATTCCCAGTCTCCCATCCATCCCTGCCCTCTGGCACTGGGAGCCATTCCCTGGGTCCTGTCCCTCCATCCCTTGTCCCCAGTCCCTCTCCAGCTCTCCTGGAGCCCCTTTAGTGCTTGCAAGGGGCTCTGAGCTCTCCCTGGAGCCTCCTCACCCCCACAGGGAGGGATTCATGGAATTTGGCAGTGCTGGGTTGGTCCCTGCCCCTGGCAGACTCCCCTCCATCCCACTGCACCAATGCCAGGCCTGTGGCCACCAGCACCGGGGCCACTCCGTGGTGTCACCACCTCACATCTGCTCCCCTTCCTAATTCAGTAAATTCTACTGCCTGCCAAACATTTTTTGAGCAGCTCAGTTTTCCCATATCTGAGGTTTTAAATGAATTAACTGGTTGAAAAACCAATTTTCAAGTGCTGCTTTTGGACATCCTTTTTTTTAAATTGCATCTCAGTTTCCATCCAAAAGTGGAATGGCCCAAATCCCAGGCAAAAAATGTCACCTGGAGAATAAGGAATGCATAATTCCAGGAGTTTCATCTCATAGCAGTGGAAAAATTAAGCACTAAATGCATATGAAGGTGCATAATTGCTTGAGTAACTCTGCAGAGATGTCATTTATCCTTCAGCTTAGCAGGGAAAAGCCAAATTGATTGGAAAAGGTCCATTTTGCAACCTGAACTGTGCCTGCCAAGGGGGAGGAACCTCACTGCAGGAAAATATCCGAGATGTGGGAATGCATATTAAATATCTGGATTTTGTCTTGGGGCTTCTGCTGTCCCTGTCCACCTGAGCTGCATCCATCCCTTTCCCTGCTTGCACCAGCGTGGGGAGCCTGACTCCAGGACAAGCTCAGATCCCATCAATGGGGAGGGAGGGCCCTGGAATCTCCTTATTCCTTATTCCTTATTCCTTATTCCTCATTCCTCATTCCTCATTCCTTATTCCTCATTCCTCATTCCTTATTCCCTATTCCTTATTCCTTATTCCCAGTCTCCCATCCATCCCTGCCCTCTGGCACTGGGAGCCATTCCCTGTGTCCTGTCCCTCCATCCCTGTCCCCAGTCCCTCTCCAGCTCTCCTGGAGCCCCTTCAGGCCCTGCAAGGGGCTCTGAGCTCTCCCTGGAGCTTCTCCTCTCCAGGTGAGCACCCCCAGCTCCCCCAGCCTTTCCTCTTCCATCTCTTCCATTCCTTGCACCATATCCATGGTATCCTCTGGACTATGGGGGCTACAAATTCCAGAGGAGGACCTGGAGAGGCTGCAAAGGCTCCTCTGGATCCAGGCTGGGAGAGCTGGGGGTGCTCACCTGGAGAGGAGAAGCTCCAGGGAGAGCTCAGAGCCCCTTGCAGGGCCTGAAGGGGCTCCAGGAGAGCTGGAGAGGGACTGGGGACAAGGGATGGAGGGACAGGACACAGGGAATGGCTCCCAGTGCCAGAGGGCAGGGCTGGATGGGAGACTGGGAATTGGGAATTGTTCCCTGGGAGGGTGGGCAGGCCCTGGCACAGGGTGCCCAGAGCAGCTGGTGGGACGGTGTTCACAGAGGTCTGAGGATGAGGGAAGAGACGAGGATCTGACTCCGTGTTTCAGAAGGCTGACTTATTATTTTATTATATATATTACATTAAAACTATACTAAAAGAATAGAAGAAAGGATTTCCTCAGAAGGCTAGCTAAGGATAGAATAGGAAAGAATTAATAACAAAGGCTCTGTCTCAGACTCTCTGGCCAAGCCAGCTGGGCTGTGATTGGCCGTTAATTAGAAACAATCATATGAGACCAATCACAGGGAAGGGAAGGGAAGGGAAGGGAAGGGAAGGGAAAAGGGGAAAAAAGTGGAAAAGGGGGAAAAGAGGAAAAAAGAGGGGAAAGGGGAAAAGGGGGGTAAAGAGAAAAAGGGAAAAGGAAAAAGGGGAAGGGAAAGGGAAAGGGAAGCTGGGCTGAGGGAGCACTGGAGGCTTGCAGGGTTTTATAGACTGATGGCATCAGGCCACTTCCAGCGGGGAAACTGAGGCACAGCAGGAGTTGCCTGCCCTGGTGTCCTCTCCCTCCCCAGGCTGCCCCACCGAGTGGGACGGGCTCAGCTGCTGGCCAGCCCTGCCTCTGGGCCAGTCCCGAGCTGTCGCCTGCCCCGAGATCCTGAGCGTCTTCAAGAAGTCCAAAGGTTTGAATCCAGCAGGGATCGCTCATCCCACGGCCCCACCCGCCCCGTCAGGGCCCCCAGAGCTACCCCAGCCCTTCCCTCTGACCCCACAGCTCCTGCCTGTCCCAAAATGTCCTCGGTGGAAACTGCAGCCCCAGCAGGGACAGAAAAACAGAAATTTGGGGACCCAAATCCTTCCATCCCTATGTGGGTGCAGCTCTTGGGGACCTCATCCTCCATCCTGGTGGCACCAGGACAGTCCCCTCACTGCCGTCCTTTCCCATCCCAGGGCTCCCGAGCTCCCACTGGAACGTTCCAGCACTTCCTCAGACAGGAGTAATTCAGGAAATGTTGGGAAATGTTTGCTTTGGGGTAGGAACAGCTCAGGAGAGGCTCGACGGAGCCCTCACAGGATGACTGAGCACTTTTACAGCCCTAATTCCCAATTCCCTTCCCCTGGAGGGATCTGTGCCTGTTTTCACACCCTGTCAGAAGTTTTCCTGGCAGCTCCAGGCATGGGGCCATGGGATCCAGAAGGGATGGGATAGCAATGGGATTTGAGAGGGAGGGGTGGGGTTGGGGAGGGATGGGGCAGTGATAGGGTCCAGAAGCAGCAGTGGGATCCAGGAAGGATGGGGCAGCCCACAGGTACCACGCTGCTCTCCCTGTCTGTTCCAGGGCCGCCATTTTGGGGGTGCCATCAGAGGTGACACCCGTGGCTCCCCTGAGGTCCCCCCTTGTCCTGCAGGGCTGATCCAGAGGAACTGCACCGAGTGGGGCTGGAGCCCCCCCAGCCCCCCCTACCACAGCGCCTGCCAGCTGGAGATGCTGGGCAGCAGCAATGACACCGAGGCCAAGGCATGTGGGACACCTGGGGCTGTGGGGATCTGTCCCCATAGCCCCATGGCCCCATTTCCCCTTGGCCACATGTCCCCACATGGCCCCGTGTCCCCATGGCCCCATGGCTCAGTGTCTCCATTGTCCCCATGGCTCAGTGTCCCCATTTCCCAATGTCCCCAAGGCCCCATGACACCATGTCTCCATTTCCTCATGTCCCCATAGCTCTGTGTCCCTATTTCCCTATGTCCCTATGGCCCCATGTCCCCACGCTGCCCCATAGCCCCATGTCCCCATGTCCCCATGTCCCCACACTGCCCCATGTCCCTGTGCCCCCATGTCCCCATTTCCCCATGTCCCTATGGCCCTGTGTCCCCAAACAGCCTCTTTTCCCAATGTCCCCATGCCCCTGTGTCCCCATGTCCCCATGGCTGTGTCCCCATTTCCCCATGTCCCCATGGCCCTGTGTCCCCACACTGCCCCATGGCCCTGTGTCCCCATGTCCCCACACTGCCCACTGGCCAAAGAACCATGGAGATGCTCCTGGGTTATCCCATCGCCCCTGGCTGTCCCTGCCTGTCCCACACCAGCCCTTCCCAGTCCCTGTCCCCTCCCTCCACTGTGCTGTCCCTTGCAGAGAGGCCACTTTGTCACCATGAAGGTGCTCTACACCTGTGGCTACTCCACGTCGCTGGCAGCGCTGCTCCTGGCCATCGGCATCTTCTGCTGCTTCAGGTAGGGCTGGGAGCTGCTCCAGGGCTGGGGGGACACAGGACAAATCCCGGCAGGAACGGCTGCCCCCAGCCTGGCCCCTCCTGGAGCAGCCAGGACCCATCCCTGCCCACAGGGAAACTGGGAATGCAGGAGAGCAATGGCAGCCTTGTCCTTCCCTGGTGGCCCTCTCAGGTTCTGGTTTTGCAGATGTCCCTGCTGCAGGTTTGGGCTCTACAGAGGTTTCTGGGATGTTCCCTTGTCCTTGAGCAGCACCAAGAACAGCACTCTTGTATTTGCTAGGAAATGTCCCAAAAAAGGCAGGAATGATGCCTCTGACTCCATGTTCTCAGAAGGCTAATTTATTACTATATTATATTATATTATATTATATTATATTATATTATATTACTTTATTAATATATACTATTATTTAATATAACAATATTATATTAATATTATTATATTAAATAATATATCTATTATTATACTATATTATACTATACTATACTATACTATACTATACTATACTATACTAAAGAATACAGAAAGGATACTTACTGAATGCTAAAAAGATAATAATGAAAATTTGTGACTCTTTCCAGAGTCCTGACACTGATTGGCCAAAGAGTGAAAACAACTCACAGCAGAATCCAATTAAACAATTACCTGTGGGTAAACAATCTCCAAACACATTCCACATGGGCACAGCACAGGAGAAGCAAATGAGATAAGAATTGTTTTCCTTTTCTCTGAGGCTTCTCAGCTTCCCAGGAGAAGAATCCTGGGTGAAGGGATTTTTTCAGAGGATGTGAATGGCACACAGCACAGCCCTGCCCTTTCTGATTTTAGAGCAGGAAAGCTTCTCCAGGGCTTTGTGACCATCACCAGCAGTGATCCCAGGGAAGGGGACAACAAAGTACCTTCTCTGCCCCTGTTTGGGCCCAGCCCATCTCTCCCTCCTGCAGGAAGCTGCACTGCACCAGGAATTCCATCCACATCCACTTCTTCACCTCCTTCATCCTGCGGGGCACGGCCGTGTTCATCAAGGACAGGGTCCTCTTCTCAGACGAGTCCATCGACCACTGCACAATGTCCACGGTGAATCCCAAACTGCTCCAAACCCCAGCCCTGGAGCACAGCAGGGGCTCCTTGGGAGGGGTCTGGTGGCACCTGGGGGGATTTGTCACTACAGAGAGGACAGAGAGGCTGTGGGATGGAGGAAATTCTGTCCTGGGTGGCCCTAGGGAGGTTCAGCACTTCTGCATTTCCCTCTGTGCACGGAACAAGTTCTGTCCTCAAAACTGCTCTGGCCTCAGGCTGGGTGTCCCCAGTGGGGATGAAGCTCAGCACAGCCCCACCAGCACCAGGTACTGCTCAGATCTGAGGTTTTCAATCAAAACAGGAACCCCTGAGCGAAGACACAGCACTGAGAACACCACAGACACAACCACGGGGTTTTTAAAGATCCAGCCCGTGGTCACCTGCCCGTGGGCCACAGGCAGAGCAGAACCCGGTGCAGGTGATGTGAGGGGCTGGGGCAGAGTCCCTGGGGCTGCACAGGGAGGCCATCACTGAAAGGCCATCGCTGAAAGGCCATCACAGGTGTTCTCAAGAGGGTGGACAGGAAGGTGACAATCCCCTGTGCTGCACCCTGAGCCGTCCCCTCCTCCCCTGGCAGGTGACCTGCAAGGCAGCCATCGCCTTCTTCCAGTACTCAGTGCTGGCCAACTTCTACTGGCTGCTGGTGGAGGGGCTGTACCTGCAGACGCTGCTGCTGCTCACCTTCACCTGCGACAGGAGCTACACCTGGGGCTACGTCCTCATGGGCTGGGGTGAGCCTGGGGACATCCCGGACATCCCTGGGCAGGAACCACCTGGGAATGGCCTGATCCGAGACCCACCTGGCCAGAGTCCAGCATCTCCCCACCCCAACATCTCCTGCATGGCCTTGGTGGGCACCCACCTGCTCCTGCCAGAGCCCAGAGCTGCAGGGGAAGCATGGCCTGGTCAGGGCAGCTCCTTCCTTCTTCCCACACCCACCTGGGGCTGGGAATGCCCATCCCAGGTGCCTCAGGGTGTGGGGACAGGAGGGTGACACAGACACGGCACCACCACTTCCTTCTCCTGGAGAAGGTGGGATGGTTGTCACCTTCCTGCCACATCCAGAACTGAGCTAGACACGTGTTCTGGGGACAAGGGACAGAGGGGTGGCACGGGGGCTTCCCAGAGCACTGGAGGGGCCATCCCAGCCTGTGTCCTATCCTTGCAGGTGTCCCCATGGTCACAGTTGGGGTGTGGGTGCTCACCAGGCTCCAGTATGACAACCACGGGTAAGAGCAGGGGGGGTTGGGTCTTTCTGGTTGTCAAACTGTCCCTTGGCCTCGTCCAGGCCACCCCAGCCACGTGTCCCAGTCCAAGGGCTGGGAAATGAACCTCTGGCATGGGATGGATGCTCAGGAGGGGAGGACTGGGCCAGCCTTCATTTCAATGTTATTTCCGTTTTCTGGTGGGTCCTGTGGCAAGAGGGGTGCAAAGGAGTCAGGGGTCTGGCCAAAGAAATGGCAGGGGGACAGCTGGGCCATGTGGGTCCCCGTGGGTGTCAGAGCCACCTCTGCTGTCCCATAGGTGCTGGGATGACTACTCCAGTGTGTACTGGTGGGTGATCAAGGCTCCCATCCTCCTGGCCATATTTGTGAGTGTGCCCCCTGAGAGTCCCCCCCCAGAGCCAGGGTCCCACACGGCCAGGGGACCCATCCAGGGACTGTGCAGGGCCTGAGACGTGGCCTTCCTCCTCGGGCAGGTGAACTTCCTCATCTTCCTCAACGTCACCAGGATGTTGGCACAGAAGATCCGGTGCCCGGACCTCAGCAGAACCCACAAGCAGCAGTACATGTAAGGGGACAGGGCTGTGCCCATCCTGGGGTCTAGGGCGGGGACAGGGCTGTGCCCACCCTGGGGTCTGGGGTGGGGCAGGGCTGTGCCCACCCTGGGGTCTGGGGTGGGGCAGGGCTGTGCCTACCCTGGGGTGTGGGATGGGGACAGGGCTGTGCCCACCCCGGGGTCCCAGGGCAGAGGGACCTCCCTTGGAGGAGCACAGAGCTCAGCCCTGGAGCCTCCAAGACCTGCCTCTCACACAGAACCTCTCCAAGGTTTTGGGGAGGTCTGAGGGGGCAGCAGGAGCCTCCAGAGCCCTGTCCCTCTCCACAGGAGGCTGACCAAGTCCACGCTGCTGCTCATCCCCCTCTTCGGGGTGCACTACGTGGTGTTCGCGCTCTTCCCCGAGCACGTGGGCGTGGACGCCCGGCTCTACTTTGAGCTGGTGCTGGGCTCCTACCAGGTGAGAAGGGCAGAAAGCCCCATGGCCCCATCCCAAATCACACCAGGACCCTCTGGAACGTGGGGGTTTGGCCTCTTTTGGGGGAGGGTGCCCCCAAACACCTGGGGCAGGGCCTGGAGAACCTGGCACTGATTCTCCAGTGGAAGGAGGTAAAGGTAGGGAGAAGATGAGCACAGAGGGGTCCAACCCCTTTCTCTGGGTGCAAATTGCTCTGCCTGTCCTCTCCAGGGCTTCCTGGTGGCTCTGCTCTACTGTTTCCTCAATGGGGAGGTGAGTGTGTGTCCCCACCCCAACCCCGGGCACCACAGTGGGCACGGGGACACCCCGAGGGTGCCCCAAAGCTGGGGTGGGCAGGGTCAGTTCCCCCTCCCCTTGCACCCCAGTCCCCTCAGTTGGGTGGTGTCTGGCGTCCCTGGGTGCCAGCACTGCCCACACTGGTGCAGGTCCAGGCTGAGATCAGGAGGAACTGGGGAACGTGGCAAAGATCCATGGAGAGCAACGTCTTCAACCTGGCCACCCAGGACTTCACGGCGTGAGCAGGACAGGAGAGGGGCTGATGGAGGAGCAGCTCAGTGGCTGCGGCCACAGAATGACCCAACCACCCTGATTTTGGGGGTTATGGGTCTGACACCCTCAGAGGGAACAACCAGAAAGACCCAAACTCCGCTCTGATTTTGGGGGTGTTGGGAACAAGCAGAAAGACCCAATCCCTTGTGATTTTGGGGGTTCTAGGTTTGACACCCTCAAAGGGAACAACCAGAAAGACCCAACCCTTTCTAATTTTGGAGGTTGTGAGTCTGACAACATCAGAAGATGTTGGCAACAACCAGAAAGACCCAACCCTGCCCCAATTTTGGACGTTCTGGGTCTGACATCCTCAGAGGGAACTACCAGAAAGACCCAATCCCTTCTGATTTTGGGGGTTCTGAGTCTGACAGTCTCAGAGGAAACAACCAGAAAGACCCAAACTCCCCCAATTTTGGAAGTTCTGGGTCTCACACTCTCAAAGGGAACAAGCAGAAAGACCCAAACCCCTCTGATTTTGGGGGTTCTGGGTCTGACACCTTCAAAGGGAACAACCATAAAGACCCAACCCCTTGTGATTTTGGGAGCTCTGAGTCTGATACCCTCAGAAGGTGTTGGGAACAACCAGAAAGACCCAACTCTCCTGATTTTGGGAGTTCTGGGTCTGCCACCCTCAGAGGGTGTTGGGAACAGCCATGGGAGAGGTTCTGCATGCTCAGTGCTGGTGTATCTTGCACCTTGTGGTAGCACCTCACCCCCAGAGCTCTCACTGCTTTGGGGCAGAGTTCCAGGCAAAGAGAAGGGAAATTCTGCACTTTTCTGCCTGAAACTGGGAAGGAAACACAGAAATCCTTCACCCAAGGACAGCTGGTGGGTTTTGTCTGCACTAAAGGAAAAGGAGCAGTGCTGATACTGAAGAGATTCACTGATGGATGTTTTCCCCTTTCCTCGGTTTACAAAATCATTTCCTGCCTGGGAAGATTCCTAAACACAGCCAGGACCCCCCTGGGGATGGGGGGAGGATACAGACAGAGGCCAAACCCCAAACCTCTACAAGAGACCCCCCCCAAATGGCCTCGGGGCCCAGTTCCTCCCCATTCCTAAAATTCTTCCCTTTCTCCCATGTGGATTGAGTGAGCTGGAGATGTTCCCGTGCCAGGAGAGCTCTCCCAGCCCTTTGCTCTGAGGAATGGGACTCACCTGGCATCCCTGGGGGGTCAGGAAGGGTTTTGCCAATAAAGTCTCATTCCAAGTCCAGCCTCACTTTTTAGAGTCTCATTTTGCTCCACAAACCCAGAGGATTTGGGACTGGGGGCGCTGCAGGATGAAAACCCTGCCCATGATGGAATTCTTGGAGGTACCTCCCAGGCAATCTCTGCTTTTCCCCTGCCTGGTGAAGCTCACAGAGAGGAGATGGAGGAGGAAGGTGAGGAAGATCTCGAGGGGGGGGCACCACGAGCTGTCCCAAAGGTCCTGGGGTGCCCTCTGGGTGCCCCCAGCCTGTTCCAGCACCATGAACATCCTTCATCCTCCCAGCTGAGCTCCTGCCCTCCAAATGGTGCCTCCAGGAGGGAGAGAGGCCCCAAATGCCCTTTTTCCAAACTTACTGGCCTCTCCCCTGCTCCTGAGGCCGGAGCCACCCGATCCCAGCCTTGCTTCTCACCCTGCCTGGGTGCCATGTGTCCTTCCCTAAATAAACCCCACTTGCTGGCCCCTGTCCAGCTGCAGGATCTCCAGAGATCCCATCTGGGAGGGCACCGAGAGGGAAACAGAGGCCCAGAGCTGATCTGGGGTGAGACGGGAGAGGTTCCATTAAAAATCCCTCCAGAGCCAGCACATCCTGAACCATCAGGAACCCTCCAGAGGGTTTTGGAAGGTGTCAAATAAATCCCTGTCTGCAGCCAGGAAGGGACCAGAGGTGAAGAGAATCCCTCTCCATCATCAGTGAGGATGGGATGAGACAGCAGCAGACTGAGCAGGACTGGGGATGCTCAGTGGGAAAGCCTGTTTCCATTAAACTTTAAAAAACTCTGGATTTGCACCTATTTCCAGCTGCAGATGGGGTTTTGGGGTGATAAATTACCCCATATGACCCTCTGGAGTTGGCTGGGCTTTCAAGCCCCTGCAGGACAGGAGCCCAGGGTGGCTCCAGGAGGGGACTGGGAATCACCCTCAGCCTGCAGGAAAGGTTTTCCAAAGGCTCCCCATGCCCTGCATCTGCAAAAGATCATGGAAAGGGATCTTAAAGTGTTGAAAGAGACCTTAAATCTCATGGGCAGGGACACCTTCCACTATCGCAGACTGCTCTCAGCCCCGTCCAGCCTGGCCTTGGACACTGCCAGGGATCCAGGGCTCCTGTGCCAGGGCCTGCCCATCCTCACAAGGAGGAATTTCTTCCGAAGATCGTCACAATCTCACAGATTTTTCCACTCTAAGGATGCTGAGGGTGTGTTCGGGAGTGCTGAGCCCAGGCAGAGGAGGGTCAGCGTAGGATTGATGGCATTAGGACGGTCAGGATGGACGGAGATGAGAGATCTCTGCAGCCAGGCTGAGGAACTTGGGGTTTATTGCAAAGGGCCTGGGTGCAGGGCCCTGCTGGGAGCTGCCAAACACAGCTCAGAGCAGGCTGAGAGAAGAGAGGGGGAGAGAGGATGAGAGGGTGAGAGAGTAAAAGGCAAGAGCTAAGAGCTAAGAGGCAAGAGTAAGAGTATAGAAAGTAAGTGAGCAAAGTTCCCGTTCCAATACAATAATTCTTCTTCTGTGTTGAATATTCTGATTCTCACTAACCAATCTAGTACAAGATACAAATCCTATAGCATTTCCATACAGCCTATAAGAATCATTACATTACCATACTGTGTTACATTTTAAACCCTAAAAACCTCTTTTTTGGGCCCCTTCTGCCAAGCTGTAGGGTCTGCTCTGACCCTTGGGCCTGTCTGCAAGCAGAGGGTGTTGTTCCATCAAAAGGGGATCACCTTCAGCCAGCCACACCATTGTTTTCCAGTTGTTCAGTAACTGAGGTATCTCAATGTTTGCTTTCATTTCAATCTCACTTATAGTTTCCATATTCTCAAAATCTTTTGCCAGGCAATCATATTTATCAGGCTTTCCTGTTTCATCTTCCCCAACACGTCAGGCTTCCCGCATCCCTCCCCCAGGAGTGCCCCATCCTGGCTCCCTCCTCTCGCATGGAGGGAGGGTGTCGTGTGTCCCCCGGTGTCCCCCGGTGTCCCCGCAGCCCCAGTGTGTCCCGTGTGTCCCGTGTGTCCCCAGCGGTGCCCGGGCACGGCGCAGTTTTGCCCACCCGGAGCCGGAGGGTGGCACTGCGGCCCCTCCGCAGCGCGGGCACGGCGGGGATGGCAGCGCTGGAGCGGGAGGACATCATCCCCACAGAAACCCCTGCAACAACCACACCACTGTCCATTAAAATAACTGCCCTGATCGTAACAGCCCTAGGCATCGTTTCAGCCCTAAAAATCTCAAAAATAGCCCAAACACTCATCCTCACAAAACAAACTCCTCTCTCTCAAACTTTTCAACATCCCTAGGGTACTTTAACCCCTTAATCCACTGCCTAAGCATAACCAACTTCCTCAACGGAGGACAAAACATTGCCTCCCACCTAACTGACCTCTCCTGATACAAAATATTAGGCCCAGAAGGACTGGCCAAAGACTGAAAACTAAACCCCTTCTTAGAGTTACCCCACAACCCCATCTCAGGTTAGAATGAGGACGTTGGCGAGTAGGGTTCAGAACAGGATTTGTGATAGAGGGCAGAAGGTTATTGGGTTATTGGCCCTGAGAGCCCCAGAGGGTGAGGAATGGGTCACACTGCTTGGGCACTCAGGAACAGCCGGGCAGCCCCGGCCAGGCACGGGTTAACCTGCGGTGCCCGGTGTGGGAATCCACAAAATCAGAGGGTGTCGTGGGAAGGGGACCAGGACACCAGGTGGTTCATCACAGGTCCAGTTTATTAAAGAAAGCATCAAACACTTATACAGCAAATAATAAGCTCATGAATATTCTGTAAGCCAAGCAATCTATTGGTTAAACTATACCATTAACTCTTCCTCATTCCTTAGGGGTTACATCTCTCCTTTCTCATGTCTCTTTCACTATTTGTTATCCTACAGTAGTAGGATACGCTATCTCACAGGTGCAGGACTTGGAATTAGCCACGGCTTTGTACTTTTCCAGTCCCTAGCAGCTAAATTCCCAACATCTCCCCTGTTTTTATTTTTTATGAAAAGCAAAATTCTATGGGCTAACTGTGTCACACTCTTTGCAACAAAAAAAAATAGGCAATTCTAATAACTAAACAATATTCTCAGCTAGTAAGATTTCTCTCTTACAAGGGATCTAAGCCAGGGAAACAAACCAAAAAGGCTATCACTATGTATAGGATATGCTATACAACAGATACAAAAAGGATTCTATGTGCTACAAGGCTCAAACAAAACTCAGGTGTGCTAATACAACCTACAAAGGTAAGCTAAAGGAGTAACATGTGCGCAGGTTTCACCTGCGTTGATTGTCTGGTAAGTTTGCTTTCCATCTTCAAACAGCAGATATACTTCAAACAGGAACGGCTTTACTCACAAATGCTTTTGATTGTCCCTTTTAACTAGAGTTTCTCTGATGTTCACAACAACACTTTGCACACAAGTCATAAAATAAACGCCTATCATAAAAGCATAAATCTATCTAACATCACTTAAACCCAATAGCACCTATACTTAAAATACTTAAACTTAAAACATTTAAACTTAATAGAACTTAAGTTTAAGTAAAGATAAGTTTAAGTAATGTTAACAGATTTTTAAATCAACAGAACTTACATGTAAAATCACTTAAATCTAACAAAACTTTAACAAAACTTAACTGACTTTAAATTCTACATAACTTAAACCTAATATAATTTAAACAGAATCTAGCATTATTTAAACTTAATAACACTTAAACTTAACAGGAGATAAATTTAAAAAAACTAAACCTTAACAGTATTTAACATTTAACGGCACTTAATAGATAATTTAACTTAAA